TTTTTGGTCGGACTCACGTTCCCAACCATGCAACGCGAGCTAGGCGAGTACACGTTTGTACCGTTTGGTATCGCGCTCTGCCTGGCACTGGCTTTCACTCTGAAGTATGTGCCTGAGACGAAGGGCAAGACCATTCAGGAGATCCAGGATGAGCTTCGTTTGAAGAAGAAACAGTCTATGGAGATATAAGATTGAGGTGTCTGGCGAAGATTAGAAGAAACTCGCCAACCAGGCCGTCGACAAATGATTTTGGTCACGGCAAGCGAGGATGCTAAAAGTAGTGCAAGTAGGAAGTGCTAGTGTCCTCTTGCAGCATATCGTCCACCAAAATCAAAACTGTTGCTAACACCCAGTATTTCTTTCAAAAACAAGTCTACTGTACAGTAGAATGCATCTGATGAACGTCGCAGTGTCTAAATCTTGCGGCGCTTCTTCGCGTCGTGCTTTAGCATGCGCTGTCGGCAACGAAGCTGTTGGAATTAATGTTGGGTTTTGACGCTGGAGTGCTCTTCCCCCCAGACGTTCACACCGCTTCCGAATCCAACACCTTGATTTCCCTTTTTGTTTGACTTCTCCAAAAGGTGGGGGGAGTGTATTGAACGCTTCTCCTAAAAAGAAACGCGACGCTCTTTTTATCAAAAAAAGACGTTCCTCCTGAGTCAAGCGCTTCTTCTTCGAGTAGCCCTCGAGATCCGTCGGGTTTACCTTCGTGGCATCCGAGCTTGCCTTTGCGGCATCCTCCTCGGCCTTGCGCTTGCTGCGTGACTTCGGATCCTTCAAGGCAGCATCACGCTCTTTCTTCAGCATCTCAATGCGTTCAAAATCGAGCGGTGTCAAGATACGACGGGCGTCCAAACGGTCCTTCTGTTCAATCTGAGGGGGTCTCCTCCTGCTCCTCATTATCCTCTGCATCGTCTTCGTTTGCCTCGTCATTGTTTCCATGCTCATTGTCCTCTTCATCGGACGACAAGTCGACCCACTCGTCCTCAGAATTATCTTCCGATGTGGACGATGCCACCTCCCATCCATCCTTGTTGTCTTCTCCATCGAAGCGTCCAGCTGCTTCAGCCTCCGCTAGCAGATCCGCACCATCCACGCCTTCGCTTGCCACAAGTTCACCAAAGCGATGAGGCTTAGCTGCATCGTTGTGAAACTTGCCGCGGTCCTTCCGCTTGAGGAGAGCTGGATGAACATCACGAATGAGATTGAGCACACCACGTGCTGCCATAACGATAGTTTTGTCGCGTGCGCGGTTGTACTGAATCAAATCGCTCACTAGCACGTCTATTCCTTCGCATTCCAGTAACAGCGGAGCGCGACGGAACAATTCACGCAGAGAGTTGATACCCACAGCAATCACTTCGGACGAACACCGCTCCGTGACAAAGTTGTGCGCAATACTTTTGACAATAGGTAGGAGTTCCTCCGGCGGAATTTCGTCGTGACACGATTGGACCAAATACGCTAAGATAGCAGTGACATTCTGCTGGTGAGACTGCAAGTAGCGCTGCAGCAAAGGGTAGAAAGGAAGGACCACAAGCTTGTGGAAGCCCAAAACGCGACCGATGAAGTTCATCATGAGGAGCTTCACTTCGAAACGCTCCGTGCAGCTCTTGAGCAGCTTCAGCTGACGCTCTGCAACGCTCTGTGGGTCATTTAGCATTTCAATCGCAGGGAAGGTAGCCATGAAGTCGATTTCCCGCTTGCGTGCTCGCTTGTTTTTTATGAGCGCCTGCAGGGTGTCACGCTGACGCTTCTTTGTCTTTTTTGAGTGGGCATGAAAGTCCACAGCCACCAGAGCCTTCTTCTCTTTTTTCTGCTTCTCCTCATCCTCCAAAATATCGTCGTCGATTCCCAAAAAGAAACTGAGAGCCATCACTAACAGCTTCGTGTTCTTTCTTGTACACGCCGTAACAATAACATTTACGCTGCGCTGGTCATGCCAGATCTTGCGCTGAAAAGCTCCATCAGCACCTGCAGCGACTTGATGGCGGCGTGCTCGCTCTCGTCCTTAAGCATCTCGAACAAGAAGTTCTGAAGAGCTTTGTTTACCTTTACGTTGCGCGATGTGGCATTCAGTTGGCGGATGTCTGACACAATGTGCTTGTACAGTAGCTCGCGCAGCCGCTTATCTGGACAGCGGAACAGCTCAAAGAAGAGCTTAAGAAGCGTGATGGCGTCCACAAGGCCACGGTTGCGCAGCAGCATAAGACTCTGCACAAGCGTCTTGCGAAGCTCCGGCTCCAGCACCAGGTAATTGTCGCGTAGCAGCCCAATGATCTGCTCTGGAAAAGCTGCCATCTCCTTAGGGTAGCACTTAGCTACATGGCTCAGGAAGCTCACGAGCGCACCAAAGTGTGCCGACTCCTTCGTCGGCTGCAGCAGGAACAGCTGATACTCGCTCTCAAAGTGGCGCAGTTGCATGAGGAACTCGGTGCGGTAGCCCACCGGATCGCGCTTGACCATGTTCTGCAGCTGCGGGAGCTTGCCAATCACATCTGGGCGGGACGCGTTCACAGCCTCCATGACTTACGAACCTAAAGAAATGCGACGCACAACCTGCGTGAAGAAGTAAAGAGTGGCCTTCCAGTCTGTGGGTCGTTTGATTTTGTTGTCGGCGCCTCCACCCATTCGCCTTTGTTTACTTTTCCCCGATTCAGTGTCTCAAGTCAGTAAATCGAGGATGTTGATTGGCAAAAATGACCAATACTCAGCAAGAGCACGAGGCTGGCTTCCGCCTGCGCAGCGATGTCTGCGTTCGCGTTGTGCAGGACACTACCAAGGTCGATGGTCTAGGCGGCGAAGTGTGGGCGGGTGCGCTTGTCCTCTGCGAATTCCTGGAGACGCACAAACAGGAGGTGGTGCATGGACGCGATGTGATCGAGCTTGGCGCTGGCTGCGGGTTATGCGGGTTAGTTGCCGCCTCACTAGGTGCCAGAAAGACCGTGTTGACAGACGAATATCCTGATTTGCTGGCGAAGAACATCATGAAGAACCATCACATCTGGGCCGAGCGTGGGGCTGACGGCTCCTCCGCCATAATCTCGAGTGGGGAGCTGGAATGGGGTATCGTGGGGTCTGTCGCGCCATTCGCCCACAAGTTCGACACCATGCTCGGCAGCGAGATCACACAGGTGGGGGCGGAGTTTGCCCGCCTCCTTTCCTGAGACTATTCGCTCGGGTCCTCGTCCCCGATCTAAGTCCTGTCGGGGCTCCTGTCCATGGTCCGTGCCGATCCCACTGTAAAGGGACATGCAACGGGGCAGATGCACAGCTTGACATTCGTAGCCGCCGCAAAGCAGACAGGTTCCACTGTACGCACACACCCGTCAGTGCGCTTGGCGTCTTTCGAGGCCCGTGACTACGTTAGTAGGTGCATTAGGCCCGACCGCTGCATGTCGACGAGGACGACTGGAGCGTAATCTTTGAGCTACGTCTGGAAGGAACACCCTAATAAAATACTCGTTCGGCAAAATGTAGCCATTTCAACGACCTGCATTATTGTACCAAGGGTAGCTTAAAAAGAGAGGTAGAAAGAGATCTTTGACAAAAAAAAACTTCTCTCTGCATGCCGCCTCTCGTAGTGATCCGCAGCGGCTGTAAGCACGTCGAATATCTTGAGAACCGAAGTACGTGGCGCCACGCGCCGCGGCTGGAGCTTTTAAGTAACAGCGTCGACGAGCTTGCAGGTGAAGAGGAAGACGAGGAACTGCTGCGCCAGGCCGAAGAGGCTTGGCGTGGCTCCGACACAAACTGCAGCGTCAGCAAAGTTTTTGGGTTCTCGAGGGAGATGTGTGATGTGGAAGGAATGCATGCATTTCGTTGCGCAGACTGCGGCAACGTGGTGGCTGACCGCGACGATGTCGTATCGAAAACCTTCTTCGGCCGCACTGGCAAGGCGTTCCTCATGAATAATATGTACGGCAATGCTAGCAAAAAAATGCTGCTCCTGCTCTAATACGGCTGCATGCTGTTTTACTGCCAAGGTATAACATTTGTGTCGGTCCAGCTCGCAACCGCTATCTAATGACGGGAATGCACAGCATCGCAGACGTGTTGTGCAGCCAGTGTGATTTTGTACTGGGCTGGAAATATGTACGTGGTGTTGCTTTGATGGTTCGGAAATTCGTCTTCATATTGATCGAATTCATGACGTGGTGCCAAGATTAAAGCCATGGAGAGTTCTCAGAAGTACAAAGAAGGCAAGTTCATTATGGAGCAGGCTGTGGTCGAGGACGACTCGGAAGAGCATGCTTGGAATCGGCTGTAAAGGACTCGCGGTGCGGTAATAGCAGTTTAATCGATACTTTTATATGTAGTCTGGCAAAAATGATTGGACTGAGTAGGCAAAACTTACCATTGTGCACGAGGGGAGTTCCAGCACGCACGAGAAGCAAATACTATAACTTATATGTCAGTCATACTTTCTCTGCGTGGCCTGGGAAGACGCTGGGTAGCCTGTGTCTGCGGGGGCAGTGCTTGATTCCGACTGGTACTTCATTCATCCTTTTTTGTGTGAGCATGCCTCAATGATAGTCGAATTGAACGTATCTACTGACCCGGCGGGCCGCGCATACCAGGCGGCGGTCCTGGGGGCCCACGCATACCTGGAGGGGGCATCATTCCTGGCGGGGGGCCCATTCCAGGAGGCATGCCCATTCCTGGAGGGGGAATTCCCATGCCTGGCATCGGACGAGGAGGAGGCATCATGCCACCTGGGGGTCCTGGAATACCACGACCTCGTCCATACGCATGCGGCTGAGCCATTGCCGCCACTGCAGCATTGTACGCACATCACAAACATCATAAAAAATGTTAGATTCATGCCCCATATCCGCGGCGACTGACTGCTCGGTTGAGTGGCGGGCTCCATCATACTAAGATCGTAGGCAGTAGTTTCCTAAAATGATGCTCATCCGGGTTCGGAAAGAAGCCGTGCACCCGATCGCTTATCTGTTCGAGTGATCATTTGGAGCCAGCCACACGCCGCCACAACACCCATTTCGTTGCCCAAGAGAAAGATACTAAGAACAAACCTTGCCCTGGCTGCATCATTCCTGGGGATGGGCCTCCAATACCGCGCATAGGCGCCATAAGTCCGATGGGAGGAGCACCTATAGGTGCCGCCGGGATGCCGCGACCCGCCGCACGTGCCACACCGGGACCACTCGGTCCGACAGTCTCGTTCTCCTTAGCGAGCGGTGGGCCCTCCACAGTGAGCGACACGACGCTCTCACCACGTAGCAGCACGAGGCCTAAGTGGCGCTTCTCGACACGCTCCTCCGAAACCGCAGATTTGACCTTGGCCTTTAGCGTGCGGAACTCCTCACAGTCGCCAAGCACCAGGTTCATGTGCTTGTCGAAGGCCATAAAGTAGCCGATAAGCACGCGCGAGTCCTGCAGCGTCACCTTCATACGGTAGTTAATGTAGTTAAGCATCTTGCTGCTCTTGGTCATCACCATCGTGGAACCAGCTGTCCCTAGCTCGCTCGACCAGATCCTCCTTCAGAGGTAGCCTTCTTGCTTGGGTACTGCGCCACACCCCACCCAATCCAAAGCCTATGTAGTAGAATTCGATATGCATATTAGAAGTTTCAATAATTCATGATGATGAAGCACTTCCGAATCAGCGTTTAATCCACAAGGCATGGTGTTGCCCCAAGCTGTAGACGCGTTCCCGGCGGCGGGTGCATGCGCGGAGCTGCTTCTGGCGGATAATAAGGATACGGTGTACGAAAGTGAGCTCAAGAACTTGCTCCGTGAGGTGCTGGAGCGTGGCTTTGGGGCTCACCTACTATCTCAGCTGCTGCCAGAATTGGCAGCACTCTCCTCTATACTCTACCACGGGCTATCCATCGGCAATCAGCAACCGGGTCAGACGCTGGGCGAAGAATTTTGTGATATCATCCGTGTCACCAAGTCAGGGTCTGGGCCCGTCGTGCATGTGCGGCTTGGGCGCCATGTACTGTGGCTTGTGTGTGCCGTGCTGCCTCGGTACCTGATAGCGCGATCTCAAAACGGCCTGGGAAAAAATTTGAGGTCATCTGACTGGTACGCCGAGGGAGCGCATGGAACACCAACTTCGACTTCGGCAAGAGGCCGCTGCTGCTGCAGCGTCGGCAGCAACAGTAGACGGCTCCCAGCTCTCTTCGGAAAGTCGAGTGGCTGCGCTGAAGCCCCAGCAGCTACTTCAGCAACTTGACCGAGTAGTATTAAAGCTCAAGGGTATGGGTGCATGGATTGAGAACGATGTGTTTCCAGCATCGTACAGCTTCAGCTTAGCTTGTGTGCAGCAATGGGGGGCTCACGCGCACTTTGCAGCTTTCTACGTTTTTGCACGGCATTTGCACTTTGCGAAACGGATAGCCAACATCCAGTACGTTTTTGTACGAAAGGACTTAATGCCTGGTGTGAAGTTGTCATTGCTCGGGTATATGATGTCACTTCGTCTGGTCGCCACGGCGATAATCGAGCTCAAGCATTTGCGTGAACACCACAAGCAAGAGATTAAGCTACGGCAACAGGAGGCGAGGGCGGCCGGTATCTCCACAACCCCGTTTTCTTGCTCAGAGAGGGTTCCCACCTCGCTTTCGTTTGTGAATGCGAATTCAAGGATTTCTCATCAACAATCGGTGAGCAATGGAAACAGTCAACAGTCCCGTCGAAAATGTGCACTCTGTTTGGGAGAACGAGTATCCCCTGCCGTCACTCCGTGTGGTCACGTTTTTTGCTGGGAATGCATCGTGGGCTGGTGCCAAAAGAACAAAGCTGAATGCCCGCTCTGCCGTCAGGAGGCCCACCCTCAGCAGATTAAGTGCGTATATAACTACGTCTGACAAACATACAATAAGAAGGGGACGCGCAAATAAACTTATCAATGCAATATCGATTTCCGGTGTGGTGGGCTGTGTGGACTGTAGGCTAGTTTTTCCTCTGACGCTTGTTTTTTTTGCCGGAGGACTTGGAGGCCACCCGCTTCCCATTTCCTTCCATTTTTGTCTTTGTTTCCTTTTTCGCTTCGTTGCTCTCCTGCCCCCCCTTTTGCGCCTTGGCTGCATCCACGTATACTTGATCGGAGCTCAGGGCATTGTGAATAAAACGCTTCGAGGCGTCTTTGTCGAGCACAAGTTTAGGTCCCTTGGTTAGCTCCTCCGTGTCCTTAATCTTCTTAATAAAAGCCTTAACGCGCTCCTATAAAATTGGTGCATAACAGCCATCCGTCATTGGCAATTGTACCACCAACAGAAAGAAGTAATTTCGTTACCAGCTCCTGCTTGACATGAGTCTGTCGAATGTCCTTGGAGGAAACACCTTGCGTCTTCAAGAAAACAAACAGCAGCGCATTGATAGTGTAGGCTAGTGACTCGGCAAAAAAGGTCAAGCAGCTCGATAAGTCAATTATCAATGACCACCAAAAGAGGCTATGCTTGAACGTACCCAGTGAGACCTGAACTTTTGCACGCTGCAACGGCCTTAGAGTTTCTGTGAAATCCTCCATAGACGTCTGCTTGAAAACAGCGAGGTGCTCCTCTACCGCCGATAGCGTCTGCTCCACGCTGCCGAACGCTTCCACGGCTTGGTCGCTCATGGTTGCTTCTGCAATTGGATGGAAGCAAAACTAGTGTGGTGCACACTTCCTACCGGTAATTTCAGGCCAGCAAAAACCTTCCAAATGTTATAATTGTGGCAATCAGTTGCCTCTCGTAATTATTAAATGCGCCTGTTGGAGCAAAACGTCTCAGATGACAGTCAACTTTGTTAACATTGGCGCTACAGAGACGATAGTTACGCCAACACAGCCAGAGTGTCGTAAATTTTCCTTTACAGTCCTACTAGTGTAATGAATTGACTGCTGTCTAATATAAAGTTAAATTTGTGGACCGCAAATTGAATGGAGCAATACATTCCTACAACTCGGTTTTGGATCTCATCGTTTACAAGACAACCCCATCGCCCTGACCTTCACCACTGGCATCAGCGCCAGCGTTGCCATAACCATTATCACTGTTACTATCGCCGCGAGGGCTCGAATCTTTCTTGCGTCTTTTCATGACCACCTCAACGGCATAAGAGAATGCTGTTGCCGGTGCCTGGCCGCCCGGGTTGCTGGCCTGTAATGTGTCGATCAGGTCCTTCTGCACGTCGATCATTTCGCCCATCTTGCTTACCAGCTCATGGAAGCGCTGGTCCATTAATGCTATGAATTGCATCAACAGCACGCTCGTCGGGTCAACGGCGTCTCCGGGGCAGCTCTCTATTGAAGATATGGGGCGCTTGATACCACTGACTTGCTCGCTAGACACCGAAGTCAGCAAGGATGTTTGCGCCATCGACGGAATATGAATTGTTCTGGGCGATGCACTCGTATTAGCTGCGCTGTTCTCGCTCCTGGCGGCAGAGATGACTGGGTCTTCTGGATTCGAGGACAATGGAGCCTTCTGATTTTGCACCTGCCTCGCTTGTGCCGCATCGATGTTCTCGTGAGCAGCAGCGGCAGTGCACATGGTCTCCGCACGGGAAATCCCATTCGTAGTCGTCGTTGTGGACACCACTGGTGGTGTATCCGGCACTGTAGCAACCGCGGAGACAAGATCAGATTTCACGGTGCTGCGAGCATTCTCCTCCCTCGCCACTTCGTACTGCCGCCGATGTTCAATGGAGTACACCTCGCCATCCTTCAGGTGCGCCCTAGTGAAGTGCATCTTAAACTTCTGGGTGCGCATGGGCTTGTTGCAATTCGGGAACGTGCAGATGATGCCATTCTTGTGCTTGCTGCCCACCATCGTCGTCAGTCTCGCATGCTTGCTTTTCCGCTTCTGAATGGACTGCAACACATTTATGTATACTTGAGATCGTGTATAGAGCCCAGTGTATAGCGTATAGTGAAAGAGCGTTTTGTTTCTTTTTTCTTTAGAAAATGTGCATCCTAAAAAAAAAAGCATTTCCACCCGTTTGGACAAAACTGGGGGTCTTCAGAAAATGACGCAAAGCACAATTCAAAAGGCGTTTGCGTGCAGAAATGCGATAGCCAACAATTGCATTTGTGACGATATTTGCGATTCAAATCTCTAAGAGAAAAACATACAAATTTGCTACCAGCTTGCCTGGCTGCGGGAGCTCGAATCTCGCCGATGGCAGTAAATACTGCGTTTGCGACAAAATCAGCTACGCATCAACGCCGCTGTAGGGAGGTTTTGTTGCTGCACCTTCTTAGAAGTAGCTTTAAGAAACGGTGTAGCAGAAGATCTACGAAGAAGGGCTTTATGACAGCTTTGTAGCGGTGGTGTCGCTGCCACCTGCTTCGCTCGAGCCGAGTTTTTTAAGAAGTACACAGTTAAGTGGCGTCCCAGTCAGCGCGGCCGCCCTCCTAAAGTACGCTTCTATAAGCCCAAGCATGTACAGCGTCTTAGCACCCCCTTCCTTGGACCATTGCAATGTTTGTTGTTGTGATGTATTACCACTATGTTGGCGCGGCGCGCGATCTGATATCCATTTATATTTGGTTTGACGTCATTATTTGATTTTGTGATGTCGCAATTAGCAGAGACTCCAAAACGTTCTCTTCAACATGCGAGCGAATTAGTGTGACCTACCCCCCATAGTTTGCTACAGGATTTGTGCGAGCGGCATTTGGGATCTGCTATTTTTTCTGAAGGCCCCCACTTGAAGTAAGGGAAATGGTCAATTTAGTAGCCACTTTGAACAGCTTGCACACGTTGGTCGATATCATCAAAAGGAAAAGTCCAATTGAAACGTTACTTGCGCCATCGAAAAGAGCAGACACACAGTTATTTTTGCGATTTTTCACTGATTAAATGCTGTTGTTCTGTTGGATTTGTGGGGCTTGCAAGTTAAGCGCTACGTTTGACCGACTTGTCAGGTTAGTAGCTACATTTGACTTAATTTCATTATACTGCTCGATTCGTCTGATCGATCCAAGAAGGCTTAGGGTTAGGGATATCAAATCCTGTCTTCAGTCATATATTTTCACCATTTAAGTATTATAAGCAGTTTATAAACTGCTACAGCGTAAGCTCATGCCTCTTCAATTTCCGTCGCTGGCACCTGGCCAGCTTTCTTCTTCGTGAACGATACTGGTTTCCTCGTCTTGGTACGTCTATTTGACCCTTCTTCTTCTTCAAGAAGCGATCGCCTTCTTGTGCTCCCTCGTAGTGCTAAGCGCGGTTTCGTCAATATAAAAAAAAACTTGTACTGCCCCAATTTTGTGCTTTATCATGACCTTAGCTAGGCACGAGAACAACACTGCAAGATCGCGCTGTTCCACCTCGTTACGGAGCTTAGAGGAAGGCTGTGACGTTCTTAATGTGAGGGACGAGTGACGCTCCAGGAAGCGGCGCAGCCAGCCCTCCTCCATCGACAAGCCGCACACCAGCTGAGCCACCTGCTGCGCCCTCTCGAGAAGGTCGTGGCGGCCTACAGGGTGCCCGACCTGCTGCCTCCCAAGCTCCCAGTCTCGAGGGCTTTCGACGACATCTTCTGGTAGCATAGGATGCGGACCGCGGCGGTTGGGCTTGCGGAGAATCCCTTTCCGAGCTAGAGCGACGTACTACCTAAGCGTGCTATGGGAAATCTTGCTTTTGTCGCTCGTTGTCTTCGTAGTGGACCCTGAAAGCACCTCTTGAACGGCAGCGTCAAGTTCTGCGTCAGAATCAGGTGCTCGAAGCCTTCCCATTGAGCCAGGCTTGGAAATGGTCGGGAAATATCCAGATATAAAGTGCTTCAGGTTTTTACTTAGACGGAGCACTTGTAGTTATGGCAAATCAAATCAGTAACCGAATGGGTACATTGACGGTATTGGCTGAAAAATAGGTCGGCTACTAAACTGGCAGAAGCTACTAAATTGACCATTTCCCTTATTAAAGTTAAAATGCGAACTTAAGCCCATCGCCCCTACAAAAACCAAGATTGCCGAATAGTCGCGATATATTCACAAATCAAATTTGACTACTCGATACCCCAAAATACCAAATCTGCACCATTTTTAGCAATTAGCACCTCTAAACAGTCGCCCTCCACAATTTTATCGGGGTGGAAATGCTCTAAGAGCATTTTCATTTAAGTGTGTATATACGCTTGAATTTGCCGTCGTGAGCAAGAGCGATTTACGGAATGAATCTCTCAGCGAGAATAATGTATTTTAAAAATTTGAAAGAAGGCCTCACTGTGAAAGAAGTACATTTCAGTGAAACCTTATTAAAAACTACTTGAGTAAGACCAAACTACCGTTTTGTGAGACAGCGTAGGACGAATAGGCTACATTTTCTCAAAAACGTTTTTGACAAAAAGAATAATATATTGGCTCTAGTATGATAAATTGCACAATGGATTATGAAAAAAAAAAACTGTAGCCTGGCTGTCTTACGCCGAAATACCGCCTCCTATTGGGTGAAATTCTGGCAGTCAGTCTGGAGGCAAACACGGCGATCGTCAATCATCGCCCTCCACCTCCTTCTTCCTGCGTTCGAGACCGAGCACATCAACGGCGAGCCGTAAAGTTGGGAGAAGCCATCGGCGATGGCTGAATGGTTGAGACTGACGACACTGACGAAGTACCAACATGCGGAGCCTTCGTAAGAGTCGACGAACCGGACGCAGGAGCTGTGTCGTCACTGAGCATAGACACGTTGGACTCTTACTCAGCCTCGCTAGAAGCCTCAGCTTCACCTTCTGAGCAAGTGGAAACGGCTGGTCGTATAGAAGAGCTCAGCTGAAGACGACGAACCTTCTTACGCCGAGTACGGCGTCAGAACTTAGCGATACGAGATATCTCTTCATCAGACACAGTCTCGAGAGGAAGGCTCAAGCGCAGAATCGCACTGACGGTGTCATGTCCATTCTCTTCAGGCTGCGGACAAGCGTACGGCTGAGATGGAGGCAGGGCTGGTACACGGTGGTGAGGACCAACGGCTGTCGGAGACTTCGGATTCGCAAAACGCCGCATTAGCTGCGTAGGCGTCAAGGCAGCTGGCGGTGCACGATGAAGCTGAGTGAGAGTCAGCGTGGGCTGAGTCACAGCCGTCGTTGAGCTCCAAAGAGTCGCAACCGAGCTCACCAAGAGACTTGCAGAAGAAGTAGGAAGCCCCGACGACGTTAAATTCAGTGGTTGAGTACCGGAAGCAGCAGCGGACCCATCAGCAAAGACCGAAAGCGCCCGTGGGGCGTCTGGACGAGAATGAGTCACCAACACTAGCTGGCAGGATTCACCAGCGGGAAGGGTAAGAACTTCGGGAAAGCGAGACTCCAAGATGTGACACAACCGGGCATTCAGATGAAGGCCAGCAGGATCGAGTCCAGGAACGTCCAACCCAGCGCTAGCAGCAGCGGCCATGTGGGAATCATGCATCTGAAGAGTACCATTGCACCGGAGGATCCGCTTCTGGCGTCTCCCGCTGGCCAGCGATCACTAATTGGGCGTGCCTCAACGTTGGTTGCCGGTCCAGCTATAAAGCTGCACGGTTCCTGCAGCTGCTCGAAATGCTTAGCTACGATACCCTTAAGTGTTGTGTACGCCGTATTCTTCTCAGTGATGGTCTGGAGGAGAGCCGCAATTTTGGCGTCTCAATATAAGACTTGCTGGTAGTGAAGCTGGACTTGACCTAGCGCAGCCTCAGCTTTTCCCTGCTCAATCTCGGCAGCCCGAACGAGTTTTGCTTCACTCATATTTACGACTTTGCGATGTGGCTAGCGGACTGCGTGGCATCAGCCTCCTCACGAAACCCCTGGTGCCTCGCTGACGATAGCTGAGTCGACTTATCGACGTTCTCAACAGCAAGAGTGCCGAGCCCCTGAGTCAACGCGCGATTCTCGGCTCTGGTAGCTTGAGCATCAGCTTTAAGACCACCAATGACATGGGAGTAATCAAGAGCAGCATGCAACTTCCGAGCAAATGTCTAAGACATTAGGTTGCACGGATTTTTCAGGTCGAAACATACACTTTATAAAAAACATTGAGCACAAAAAGAAAGTGAGGCAAATCAAAAGTACTACCTGGTATGCTTTTACGACAATATTATTCATAAACGTACTTTGACAAGATCAAAGTTACTAAAAAAAACAGCGGATGGGCCTAGATCTAAAACAAGATCAAGAATCATATTCACCGCTCTTGGTCATGGTTAGGGTACTCTTACAAATCGTAAGTACATCGTAAAGAGAGTTGCCTTGGCAAAGTCACCGATTTCCTATAAGCTACATTTGTAGAAACTTTTCGAAATCAAACAGCTTGTACTTAAATGATACAAGACTCAATTTGATATTTTGAAATGCGTCGTGGTTAGTTAGTACACAGACACCGTGTTACAGCTCTTGAGTTTTGACCTTCATCATCACAAGCACATGTGTGCTTCTAAACAATACCAATGTTAGCTTTGATATTACTAGAGTACTTCGAAGTCCGTAAGTGGTACTTCCTCCGTCCGAAAATATAAGGCATGTTTTAGAGTTAAAATCGTTTTAGCGTCAAAAGCGCGTTTTATTGGTGTCTGATTGGTCTAAAACATGCGTCAAAGCACGGCGGTTCTTCTGGTGCTTTTCGCTCGCATTTTGAATGAGTGGTTGACGAGCTATGGTCGTTCCAAAACGGCCACATTCTTCATTTTTTCTTTTATTCTTCGCAACAAGTCCAGATGAGCTCTAACACCGACGGCGCGCGCTGTAAAAGGAAGAACCTCACGTCAGAAGAGCGTGCTCAAGTCGTCGCAGCTCTTCTGCGCTCAAGCGTAAACTTGCAGCCGCCCAAAGCAGAGTTCGCCGCCTGTGCAGTCCGTTTTAGCTGTAGCGAGCGCCAGATCGCGCGGCTGTGGCAGCGAGTGGCCCAGGATATTCATGAAGGCAAATCTATCAACTACTCCAGCGGCAGAAAGGGGAAAAGCGGCCGCAAGTCAAGGCTAACGGAGGAGTTCCGCCTCGACCTCAACCACGCCATCGCACTTACGCCGCTTGAAGACAGAACCAACATTCGTACTTTAGCTGACTCCCTCGGTATGTCTAAATCTACTCTGCATGACTATTTTCTCTCGGGGGTGTTCAGATGCCACACAGCATGCCTGAAACCGATGCTAAGTGACGAGCAGAGAGTTGCTCGAGTTCGGTTTGCCTCTGGATTTGTTCAGAAGACGGGAAGACATGGGCTGCAGATCGACAATATGATGGAGTATGTGCACCTGGATGAAAAGTGGTTTTATCAAGCTAAGGAGAAGCAGCGCTTCTATTTGGCTGAACACGAGGAGGATCCCCATACGACGGTCAAGAACAAGAATGATACCGTTAAAGTTATGTTTCTTGTTGCTGTGGCTCGCCCACGTTGGGATCCTAGGCAACATAAAGTGTGGGATGGGAAAATTGGCTTGTGGCCATTTGCTATCTACGAACCGGCCGAGCGTTCAAGCAAGAATCGGCCTGTGGGGACGTTGGAACTGAAGACATACGCAGTGACTCGTGACATCTATCGGCAGTGTCTTTGCCGGTCGGTCATTCCCTGCATTAAGGCCCTTTGGCCTTCGGGCAAGCGAGTCATCTTGCAGCACGACAACGCAAAACCCCATGTGGCTGCGGAAGTTCCTGCTTACTTGCGGCATGTGCGGAGGACGGGTGGAGGATGCGCCCTCAGCCACAACCTGCTAATTCTCTGGATTTTAATGCTCTCGATCTCGGCCTTTTTAGCCCCATACAGTCGCTCCAGCACAAGAAGAAGGCTAAAACTATCGAAGATCTGGTCAACAATGTCGACGAAGCCTTCAAGCAGCTTCATTACAGCGCTCTAGATAGAGTTTTCGTTTCTCTACAATCTGTGCTGATGGCTTCTAAGGACCCCGACGGAAGCAACAAGTACGCCATCCCCCATAAATTAGAGAGCCACGCTGACGGATAGGCCGTGGTCTTCTCCCGCAGTCCCTAGCTTGTAGTGACAGAATCTATCAGAAGGCAATAAATCTGCTAAGTTCGGCTGATACGAACCGAACTTAGTCTTATATTTTCGGACAGTGTTATGTGTGGCGCTGGTCTTATATTTTCGGACGGAGGAAGTACTACAGTATTAATTATCAGATTTCTAGGTAAAGTAGCTCGGAGCGATGGCTACATCTTCAATCACATCAAGCTGCGCCACAGAGAACTTAGTCTTCGTCTCCAGCCAGTTGTCCTGATGCGTGCGTTTAAAGTCCAGCAGCGTTTCCTTTACGGTCTTCTCCAGGAACGATATCGTATTGGAAGATCGCTTTATGTAGAGAAAACGCCCCAGCTCCTCGAAGATAGGTGGTACGAAAGCTGGTACGTCATGCGGGAATGCCAGGACGATCGCACTCAGGCTCAGCACGCTCTCCGTCATCGTCGCCTCGAGGTCTTGCAAGCGATCTTGCGCTTTCTTCAGCTCCTCGCTGGGGGCTCCTTCGGCCCGCAGGCGCTCGCAACGCCGTATCAGCTTCGGAAACTTTTCCCGTGCCTGACCCGCGCTCTCAACAAAGCGCACGCCCAGAGCCTCCACGGCTGCACGTTGTTCATTGTGGAGGAGACCCCGTAGAGCGTATTTTGCCATGGCTTGCACTTCTCGCTGTGTGTCCGTCAAGAATGAGCAGATAAAAGTATGCACCTGCTCCTTCAAGTCGCTAGTGAAGAAAACCCAGTGATAGAAGGCGAACGTCATTGTGAAACGCAGTACTGCACCGCGCGTCTTCCATGTTTGAGAGGTAGCTAAACCCGTCAGCAGCTCCAGCAACTGCGTCAACGCATTTTCGCCGGTCGTATCTTGTAGCACGAAGTACATTCGTAGCGACAGGGATACGGCTTCCGTGACGTTCTTCGCTTGAACGGCTACTTCTGCCTTCGGGTGCGATTGCGTCAATAGAGCAACTGGGAGTAACTCGTTAAGCACAGCAAGCATATCGCGTCCATTGCCATACTTTTCGCAGCACGATAGCCACTGCATTGCGGTTTCCTTCGCATGCAAATTGGTATCATTCTCGGGGTTGCTCTTTGTAGATTCGTTGTCCACGTTGACGGTGTCGATTTCGGTCGAACCACTAGCAGCCACAAGTTGACCCAGTGGCAACGCGGACTGGACAACAGGGGGGGGACTTGACCCATGAAGACGTGGAATTGGCGTAAGCGCCCAATAGAAACAGCATCTTTCCTGCACGGTCTCGGATTATCTTGTATTGATGGGCTAAGGCGTGCTCACGGATCACCTTGAGTACCCGTTCACCAAACTCACAAGCCAGTGTGTGGACTGCCCGGTCGGCCATTGATACTCCAGCCGCCAGCAAATGAACACCAACAGCTTCCACTAGTGCTAGCCATTTTGCTTGACGAGCGTAATCTTCAACTGTCGCTCGAGCGAGCGAATCTTCAGCTCAAAAAGAAAGTAATTCACGAGTGGGTCCAAATCGGGGATTCTTCCCGGTACCCGATCTAGACGGACGAGTGGCGAGATATACTACCTCTACCCATTGGTTCACTAACACCATACTCACTTGGGGAAGGATGACCTTGAGTACATGGACAACATCTGCGATATGGTTCGTGATGATCTTGTCGTCCGCATCGTCCAGCTTTGCCAAAGAATGGAGCAAGCCTGAAGTACAGTCCGCCAACGTTTTCAGCGCTGCCTGACGGTCCTCTTCAGCACTGTCGGCACCAATATTCTTGCTGGCCAAGCCTTTCAAAATTGTCATCATACAGCTTCCAAACAATGCCTTCGGGTTTTCCTCCACGAGCTTTTGTACCAACTTGACACTAGATAAGCTCAAGTTTGTAATCGAGTGACTTGATCGGTTGAGCAGGCGAACAGATGACAGAGGTGGAGCTTTCGGAAAAGACTGGGAGCTGCCCGAAATGTACCGGACAACTTCGTTTACACCAAATGACCAATCGCTTGGGGCTGAATTCGCATGTTGTCCATCTGCAGATGCCGCAAATTTGTTTGAGTACTTGTGGTTTTTCACAAAGGCATCCAGAAGAGCACGCATCGTACTGTCAGAGTAGATTAGCTCGTGAATAAGTTCCACACAATTAGCTCCGTCTTCCTTGCGATCGCGCTTTAGCACCTTCAGAAGGTGCCCGAAGATCTCCAAGGCAACCTGTCGCACCGGTAGCACTTCATTACTCAATTGCCGAACCACGAGCTTCCACACATCCACTGAAATCGCAGTCCTCGGTTGCAAGAATGGATAAATAGTCACCAAATGCATCAACTGGACCTTCCAATGCTCGGCAGGAGAGGGCTCCGCAGTCAAAAGGGCTTCAATAATGGGAGACCCCGCTTCCTGGGAGTGAACATATCGCCAGTTCGACAACAGCGACAAGAAAAAAGTTTGCAACTTCACCTCGATCTTCGCCTTGCTAACCTCGCCGTCAACATGCTTCACAATCGCACTGTTACTCTTCAAGAGCACCACAAGCACGCGCTTAAGTAGGACGTTGCGTCGCTTCCACAGATTTCTTCGGGCAAGCGGCAGTGAAAGCATGTGGAGTACACCAGAGACGTGCTCTTCCGTCAGTTGCGGTACATCACGGAGTCCGTCCAATTCTTCAATCTGTCTCGACTGGCAAAAATATATCCATCTAGTGTACAGCAGAGAGCATTCCTTCATTACTGCGGCGGCATTGGCTCGAACATCTTGGTAAGGGTTTCTCAGAAGCAACTCAACCTCCGTCAAAAGCGATTCGTAATGTTGGCGCGTGTCCTCGTCACTTTCCAGCTGCATAATTACATTGGCGAGTGCAAAGTGTTGCTGCACTTTCCGTTTAGCATAGAAAAACATACACTTTCTCCACCCAGCTCATTGCGAGGATAAGAGCGGCACCTTGCTCCCCACTTAGCTATACGTTCGACTTTTCCCGGTTAGGCAATGCGACGCAACGTCCCAAGCTCCGTCCATTCTGGAATACATGTTTTGAGCTTCTTTCATCTTGAACTCGTCCAGATGCTCCCCTCTCCAAATAAGAAGCTGGTGCGCGATATCCAAGAGCAGATCCCACACCTGGTTCTCCATTGCGCTCCCGCTTCCCTCCTCTCTCCAAAATACCATAGCACTGTGCACCCGATTCATCAGCGACCCTTTCAGAGACACGAAGTTCTTGTAAAGCTCGAGATTATTGCCCAGTGCCTTGAGCAGCAACGAGTGAGCACCATCCAAAAGCGCACCATTCGCTTGCACGGGTTCGTCTGTCAGCACATTTGAAGCACCTCGAAGTCCTTGGAATATTTGTTCCAGGAGGCGCGTCCACGAACGAACAGTGAGAGCCCTCGCGTCCCTTAAACGATCTAACTTGTCAATAGCACCAACAACGTGTGCTTGTAGCAATTTGAATCCGAATAAAAGTTCAGCTTCGTTTGGTTCATGCCACCTTACCGAAAGCTTGTTCCACGAAATACTAGCGCCCAAATACTGGAACGCTCCACTTTCGTTAGAGGTTGCATCTGCCCATTCTGCAGCTGGTAATGAGCGAAAGTCATGCGTATACACGCCAAGAAGACCAAAGAGCAAGTAGCGCAGAACAGTACCGGCAGCCTCATAAACTTCCTTGTCATCGTCGTTGCTCAGAAAATGTGCCAGAATCACTTCCAATTCATGTTGGTAGCGAAGTAAGATGCGGTCATCGGGGTGGCTGAAGCGCACTAGTCCACTGAGAATTCGCAAGTGCCACACTTTTTCGTTCGCCATCAAGCTAGAAACATCAATTCCAGACTTCGTCACGTGAAATTTATCCAGCACGAGCGCCATGAACTGTGAAATCGCGTCGGATGGATTTCCTTGCATGCAATTGAAGATCAGCATTGAGACTACCTTTCCTCCAAAATACGAAGTGTAGAATGCGTTGGATACGAAAGCCACTGTCTTCCGCAAGCCAAGAGTGTAGATCTCTGGGGACAGTTGCGCGAACAAAATGGCCAGCAAATTCAAGACTTGCAACACGATCGCATCTTCACTTCCGTCTCTCTTAGAGGCCTTCCCGTTTCTTCCCTTTTCAGCGTCTGTAGAAGGCGAAGCAGACCTAGCACTAGCGCGCGACTGGATAAACTGAAAACATCGATCCAGCACCGCAAGCGCCCATTCTTCCAAAAAGGGGCCGTTCCCCCACATTTCCTCATCCAGCTGGCTGTCCAACGCGCCCATTTCAGCAAACAAACTATTTTCCATGTCAGCAAACAACTGACTTGACAGTTCACCTCTCTGCTTTGTTGTCTGGAAATGGCCCTTCGCTGGGTCGTTCACGACAGGTAGCCACGAGAGCAAGTGGAAATAAAGCTGGATCGTCGCCTGTGTCTTCTTTTCATCGTTCGCATCGATCCCTAGTAGTGTAAGTTTCAAGATAGGCTTCAAATATGTGGTGAAAAACAATCCCGTACTTTGCGGGTGCCGTCCACACATTAGCTGCGGTAAAAACACAGCCATCGACGATATCGCAGTGACTGCCAGGTGGGAGTGACTCATGGCCAGTGGGTCAAGGGCCTTAAGCATCTCCTGCATCACGGGGGCAGAGCAGCGCGCAGGATCGATGCACAGAAGGATCTTCATCACGTACATGCACTTGGTTGCTACGCCACGGTTCTTCGAGTATATCCCCAGCAAGCACATTTCCAGGATTGCATCAACCACCTTGGAGATCGAATGCAGTTGCAAACGCTTTTCATCCTTCTTCTCACGGCTAAGCCGTTTCGCAAGTGCATTGCTTAAGTAGTACACGAATGTAGCCAGCGAATTCCCGACATTGGCAACATTAGAGGGATGCAAGAATGACTTCATCAAGCTCAGAACTTCCAGGAGATACCGAGTCGGAGCACCATCACTCTCGCCGTCTTTTGAATCGCGCAGGAGGTACACACACAGCCGCATTGCATACTGTCCGAAGCGTTTCGACCCGTTCATTGAAGTATACGCAGATGGCCACGACTGCGTTTTAAAGGGGGAACCAAGATCTGAAGGCAACTCCAACAAATCAGTCACTTTCGCGAACACGAACGAAAGGTATTCATCCAGCATCGTTGTGTTGGGATATCGCTTGGTAGCACGAGAAAGGATCTTCATCCAGTGACCATCCCATTCCGAACACCTCGAAACTAGCGACCACGTTGATAACCAGTCGGGAAGTAGCTCAAGTACTGCCTTCTCTGTCGCAGGTTCTTCGGACGTCGGTAAGGACACAAAGAACGAGAAGAAAGCCAGCGAACGGAAACACTCGTTCGTCTTCACATCCTTAATAGTCTCCCCGAACTCAGTCCAGAGCTCCAACACAAGCGGCACCGAAGGATCTGTTGCTCGAAAGAAACGGCGCGCCACCTCGGCACACTTGATCGTTGTATTGATAAGCTTTGCCAGATGGCTTTGTGAAGCTTGCTGAATGTATCCGGGCGACCGAAAGCAAACGCGCTCAATCGCGCGTTTCACCGATCTCCAATCAATCACGAGATCATCGCCCAACGCACCTTCTCGAAGCGGACGCTTCTTCCACTTCTTCAACAGCAAATGTAATGCCTTCACAGCCCGAACTTCCATGTCCACATCGATAAAAGCGCATGCACTACGCGTCCACAGCAGCTCCACCAACACGCTGATCAGCTGTATGTGCAACTCCAACGGCAGCTCATGATTCAGCTTGAAAAACGTGTCTATATCTCGAAAATGACGGTTCTGAATCACGTGTTCCTGTGCATTTTCACCACACAAACTCTCCAAGCAAGTAAGCGTTTCCTGCACAGCAGCATACGCACAGACAGACGTAAAGCAAGTTGTTAGTCAATGTGATCTCGCTCGCATTCGTCAACCTCTTATTAAAGTGTGAATTACCTGCATCCGATGCAGAAAGTCGCCGCGCTCAGTCCGCACCGTATCAGGGGTCACGTACGACGGCAGCAGTCCGTAGTACGGATGCGCGGTCTCCGCCGGCACGACGACAGAATTCGTGACCATGGTGGAAGATCGATAAGTGAGGAGGATCGTGCTATTTTTCACGAGTGGATTTTAGCCAATCATGTACTGATTGCTAAGCAGCATGCATTCCAAATTATATCAATGAGAAAAATGCGTGTGCGTTCTCGAACTACGTAAATACTACATGGAGCATCTACCTCATATTATTACGGCCCTCGTTCTGATACATGTTGTATTATACTACTAGTTTAATAACGTTGAGGTTCACCAGTAATAGTGCGCCATGTTGTTGTTTTTTACACCTTCGCTGTTGTAGTTGATCCATCCCTCTGTGATTCAATCTAGTGTCCGTATCACCAAAATAATACAATCTGCAGCCGTAAGAGTTCTAGAGTCTATGAAACGAGTTACTAGGAGGTGTAAATCTCTCTCTCTCTCTCTCTCTCTCTCTCTCTCTCTCTCTCTCTCTCTCTCTCTCTCTCTCTCTCTCTCTCTCTCTCGCTCTCTCTCTCTCTCTCTCGCTCTCATTCACTCTCGAAAATGAGAGCATCTCCCACGCTTGATAAATAGCAGAGCCCAACCAGACGTAACATTATAGACATAATTGGTAATTGATGACATTTCAGGTTATACCACTAGGAAGGTTCATGTAATAGTGGTCGTCAAACGACAGCGCGCCAGCGGCACGTGTGGAGACATCGATGCTTTTCAGAACAAGTGCATCTGAAAAATGTAGGCTTACTTCAGCTTCTAGTGATCTAATACGCGGCACAAAAAGCGTTAAATGCTCTTTGTGCCGCATATTAGATCACTAGAAGTTGAAGCAAGCCTAAATTGGATCGCTGGCTACAAGAATTAATCAGTAAAGCTCTATCCAAATTGGACCCCAGTCTAAGGAGACGCGACGGAATAATCTTGCCTAATGTCGCCAGTGGAGGCGGCATCAGGCACGCGCAGCCACTCGAGTCGCTCGGATGACAGTCGTGTCATTGACACTAAGCTCGCGAAGTGAGTATCTATGCGATCGTTCAAATTAGTGTACAAAAATAGTAATTCGACTCAATTTTGTGTCCCACAAAAACCGTTTGGATTTGCTGGGAGTGACGTAATAAGCACCACCTCTGCCCCTGATCAAGCTCTGACTCCTTCAGTATCGAATTCCTGAGCTTCGAGACGACGACGATGTCTGCGCCGAAGATGCTGTTGTTGCTTCTCGCAGCAAGCTTGATGGCACACGCCGCTGCCGAAGGCTTGAAATCCGTCATGGGTATCGTCAATACGAAGCGCTCCGTGAAGCTGGACCCGAGTGTGCAACACATTCCGCTTGACCCGGCAAACGCAGTGCTGCGGCCGCCCCCGGCACAGATCCCTGCGTCCTTCGACATCTTCGTTGGTCTCTCAGTCTTCCGTGACGGCTTTCGCTGTGGCAAGACCATCTTCACCGGGCTCAAACGCGCAAAGTACCCTGAGCGCCTCTTTTTCGGAGTGGTGGACCAGGTAAACGACGGTGACGAGCGCTGCCTCGATGAGTTTTGTAAGATGGCTGAGGCTGAGTGGCCCGACAAGGGATCGTGTCCTTACAAGGACCACATCCGCGTAGACGTACACCAGGCTTCCGAATCACGCGGCCCCACTCTTGCGCGCCACCAGCAGCAGAAGTTGATTCAGCAAGAAGAATTCTGTCTGCAGCTGGATGGCCACAGCATTTTCACGAACCTTTGGGACGAGAATCTGCTGGCTGAGTGGAAGCGCGTCAACAACGAAATGGCCGTGCTGTCCACGTACTTGCACCACATCCACGACTTCGTCAAGGAGAACGGCGACAACGCGCTTTCCGCTTCGTTGCCACATCTGTGCTCGACCGTGCGAGGGTCCAATGGTCTGGTACGTACTGTTGGCGCTAGTATGATTAGCAACTCCAAGTTCCCGCAGCTGGAAGCCCTTTGGGGTGCTGGCCTATCTTTTAACAAGTGTCATGCAGAGCGTCGTGTCCCGGTGGACTCGCATACGCTATGGATGTTTGACGGTGAGGAATTCTTGCGTGCGTCTCGGTTATGGACTAGTGGATACGACATGTACTCTCCCAGTGTGTTGGGTTCCGTTATCTACCACAACTACTCCAAGGTGCCTGCTCGCTTCGAACACATTACGGTGGATCCGCAAGTGAAGAAGCGCGAGAGCGAGATGGCTGTGAACCGCTTTAACCACCTGGTCGGTAAGCCCATTAAGGGCATGGTCGACACGTATGAGCTGGATAAGTATGGTTTCGGATCAGTGCGCTCTTTCGAGTCGTATCTGAAGTTCTCTGGTGTGACGTTCCAGCAAGGTGTGAACGATACCGAGTCGTGCGAGCAGCTCCACTGGGTACCGTATGAAAATGCGACGGAGGTGGAAACTTTAATGGGAAATGGTTGGAAGCTTCACGCGACGACAGCTGAAGCTGCCGAGCCCACCCCGCATCAACAGGTTGCCCAGGAGGTTGAGCAAGAGGGAGTAAAAACACAAATATTGAAGACCACGAGCAAGACTGTTCTACCACCGAAGGAACAGGCAGTTGTCGATGATGATCCGCACGCTGAAGTTGCAAGACATGCTGCAGACGCCCACGCCGAGAATGGTGCAGACATTGGTGAAGATGAACAAATGGAGGAGGCGAAAGCGCGATTGCGGCAAGAAGTGGTGGACAATCGCACAGCTAAGGGCCCCTCCACCGCTCCAGTTTGGTTCTTCCTGTTTTTTGTCGTGGTTGCCCTGTTCGTGACACTTTCAAATGACAGCGTGTCGCGCTCAATCCGGCTGACATTTTGTGCCAGTGCGCCACACATGCACAGCAGCAAAGAATAAGTGCTGACAGACAATTCGAAGTGACTTTTCTTTAGACGTCTCCAACGGTATTTCTTCAATACACAATTAGGTAGCAAAAGCCCGGTAATGTTGTTTACTTCAGTTGTTCTAGCAGAGAGGCCAGGGCCTGCTTAGCGTTGGTATTGAGGGCTTCGCCGTCCGTCTCCTGGACACGTTGAAGGGCCTCAAGAGCGCTGTTGTCACGGCACCAGTCCAAGTTCTCGGCGTTTGAAATCACAGCGCTCTCCAGTGCGAGCAATGCGTTGGTCTGCAACAACTCCAACGCCCCACTGGCAAGATGCTGTACCAGCATCGCCAGCCCTCCAGCCTCAACCACGAGTGACTGACTCGCTGCATTAAGGTGCACACTGTGATGTACAGCCCACGCAGCGCTGCTGTTGACGTCTTCGGTGAAAACAGGCGACAGCAGCAGCACAAGAGCCGGTAGCGCACCACTCTCACGTACCAGGTCCTGTGCATCAATATCTCGTCCAGAGAGGATGTTTCCTAACGCAAAAGCAGCAACACTGCGTAGCGAGTCGCTATACTCGTCTTCAAGCAACTCGCCTATGCGCAGCACGCCGTCCTGGTCAATGATCTGGCGGCGGCCTTGGGCACTACTAGCGATATTAGCCACACAAGTGCAGGAGGCTCGCTTAATAGCTTCATGCGAGCTCGTCAGCATGCTCAAAGCTGCACTCACAACGTCAGGAGAAGAAACAGCGCCAGCAGCAGTCGGATCCAGTGCCAAATTGCCCAACGTGAGGCTTGCAGCTGCCTGCAGTCGTGGATCCGTCTGCGTCAAAAACGGGGTCAGGATCTTCGGTGTGCCCAGTCTCAGGAGCTCCTGGGCAAGTAGCGTGTCCGTCGACAAGCGGATGAGTGCCAGGAAGGCGGGCACCAGCAGATCGGACCAGATGATGGTGTCGCTGTCCTGTAAAAGGCTCAATAGCGTCTCCAATGCGTCGCTATCCACGATATTAAGTGCATGGCGCTCCCTGACTGTCTTGTCCAACGAATCGCTTAGCTGCAGAGAATTGATAGCAGCTACACGGTCGCTAGTGGACGTTTCTTTAGCTTTAAGCGCCTGCGCCAGGTCGAAGATGCTGCTGGACGACGTCGAAAAGCACCGTCCTGCTGCGAGTGGCAGATGAAAGCTGCATGGCAGCACGGGGGAGTTGCTTGTAGATGGTGCAGCAAACAACCTACTCGTGGTGGCCGATGCTGATGGGAGCTTACTCCAGCGACGCGCCGAGGCCGCCACTCGTCGAAGCTGCGTTCGCACCATGTCCAGCGTTCTCCGAGTCAACTTCGTCACTATGTCACTAAACTGAAAATACTTCAGTAATTTCCTGGACGAGCAACAAGCATGGGCAAGAATCGCCACAGCAAAGACCGGCTGTTCATCACGCAGACCGAGCACAAATATCTTTATGGCGGCAAGAAGCAGGAGATCCGCCGCGCTTATAAGCGTGCGTTTGCCTGCACCCCTCTCGTCTAGAATTGTTTTCTATATGCTCAGATCTGCTATCGTTGTTGTAGGTCTGCCATTCAACTGCTGCGCCATCACTCTTTGTCCCTTCACGGTACAGTTTGCTGCTACCCTCGATCTTCCATCTTGTACACCCCTTAAACTCACTGTGTGCGTTTCTAGAACCCGGTGTGTACACGCGAGGGTCATTTGTTCGACCTGGAGGCAGCCGTCCCATTCGTTAAGGAGCACCATATCGTACGTCCTGGAGCTGCGATCACATGTAAAAATCCCCAATTAACTACCATTAATTTGTATTCGTATCTGGTAGAACCCTGTGACGGGCAAGCCGCTGGCGTTGAAGGAACTCATTCAATTGCACTTCGGCAAGAATTCACAAGGAGAGTATTTCTGCCCTGTGACCTACAAGGTCTTCACCGACAACACCAAGATTGCCGCAATTGCGACTACGGGCAACGTTTTCTGCTACGAGGCCATTGAAGAACTCAACATTAAACCCAAGAATTGGACGGTGCGACAGCTAATATCCCCTCAGATTTCAACAAGGGCTTGTTTTCTAATGACATTTTCTGGACGTATAGGACCTCATTTCTGGCACCAAGTTTAAGCGCAAAGATATTATCATTCTGCAAGACCCGCAAGACCCCTCTAACCGCGAAATCGAAAACTTTGAGCATTTACGACGTGCCAAGGCGAGCGAAAATGTGCGTGACGCATGTAAATGCACACTCTGGCAGCGACGATTGGATTTAATTACGAGCTGGTACGGTTTTTTATGGTGCAGAATGCCTCAACAGCGGCCGGAGCTCGGAATATTCGCACAAATGCCGCGACAGATCGCATTCTCCAAGAAGTACGGCGATAACCTTAAAACCACGTGATTGCAATATTGGTGAAGGCAGATATATATTAATGCTTTTTTTTTCGTTGTAGCTGGAAGCCAAGCGAGTGGGCCAAAAAGAGCTTGCGGACAAGATCAAAAGTGGAGCTGATGGCGTGAGTGAGAAGGACAAGATTGTGGCTTCACTGACTCACAGCAACATTTCCAAGGAAGAAGAAACAAACGAAGTGGCGGGCTCAGGGAAGCTGCAGTACTCGCAATTTACAGCAGGCGAATGCTCAAGCTCATTCACGTCCAGCGTGAGAGCTCCTGTGACGAAAAATGCGATGGCGCTAGCCTCTGAACAGGAGCTCCTTGAACGAAGATGGCAGGCTGTTCGAAAGCTGAAGAAGAAGGGTCTTGTACGGCTCGAGACAACTATAGGCAACATCAACCTGCAGGTGGATTGTGATTTCGTTCCACAGACAGCCGACAACTTTATGAGCCTGTGTCAAAAGAAATACTACGACGAAGTCCTATTCCACAGAGTCATAAAGGGATTTATGATGCAAGGAGGAGACCCGACGGGTACAGGCCGAGGTGGCGACTCCATTTGGAAGAAGCCATTCCGTGATGAAATCGACAGTCGATTGGTAAGAGTACAAAGCCTGGCCTTGAGAGTGTAGCTCTTTATGTAACGATGTTTGTTATGTGCGTGGTTTATGCAGTCTCACGACTCAAGAGGTGTGCTGAGTATGGCGAATTCCGGACCAGGGACGAACAACTCGCAGTTTTTCGTCACTTTCAACGCATGTCCGCACCTAGACAAGAAACACGCGGTATTTGGCCGAGTTGTAGGAGGCATGGAGGTGCTGGATGCCATTGAGTGCGTGGAGACTGGAGCCGATGATCGTCCGATCGTGGATGTGCACATCAAGAGCGTCCACGTATTCGCCAACCCGTTCCAAGAGTATGAGGAAGCTCTAGCGCAAGGCTTGGATGTTGTACAAGTTGCGAAGGAAAAGGCGATTCGGGAGGCAAAACCAAAGGTGCAAGGAACTGTTTTAAAAGTAGGCAGCAAGTGGGTTGCCTATGACGATCTGGGTGAAGTTGACGTGGCAAGCATTTCCACCAGTGAAACTACCAAGGACGAAAACGTTGGGAAGTATCTGCAGACCAATGTGGCCGCCTCATCGAAGAAGCGATCTTTGGAACCAGCGATGCCTGTTGCGATTGAAAGCAAGAAGAAAAGCAAGAAGCAATCGTTCAGTGGTTTTGGCAATTTTTCTCAGTGGTGATCAGAGATGCACAAACGTATAGATAGCTCCAGCATGATAGATAGACTTTGAAACGGAAACGGGCAGCGTAAACGACGCTTTCTGCCAGTGAACAGTCGAGATAATCGCAACATGGACAAATACGTGGTGGAGAAAGTCATTGGCGAAGGCACGTACGGCATTGTGTATAAAGCCAAGGAAAAAGTATGTTTGCGTCGCTTTGCTTGAGTGTTTTGTGTGAACTCATGCATCGCGCGTGGGATTCAGGCCAGCGGTGACTACGTTGCAATCAAGAAATTCAAGTCGACTGGTGGTAATTCGGCGCATACAATCGATGCGTCTGTAGATTTTGGTAGCAGCGCTTAACAGTTTAGCTACTGCTGTAGACGAGCAGATGTCGAAGCGGGAGATTCAAGCATGCTCAATGCTCAGCCACCCCAACATTGTGTCGTATCGTAACAGTTTCCGACACGAGGGCTTATTGCACCTAGTATTTGATTATGTGTGCGGAGGCATGGTGAATGTACGAGCGATGATAAAGTTTTGATGCTGGTCGGCGCCCAAGCTCATTGCTCTTGAAAGCTTCTGTCCAAAAACAAAAAAGGAGTAAAACCACAGGAAACCAGAAGAATTATTTTTCAGCTGTGCAAGGCTCTGGAATACTGTCACTCCAACCGCATCATTCATCGAGGTAAGCACTCGTGGGACGGTGAATTCTTGTGCTGGATGATTGCAATTTATCGTGTAAATGATAAATTATGTAGATGTTAAGCCGGACAACATTCTTATCGATGAAAACGGTGACATCAAGCTGTGCGACTTTGGTAAGTCGATCATCAGACTGGAAGACTTGCATAGAACCACAAGATAACATTGTAGTGTAGGCGTCGCACGAACTGTGCAATTTGAAGGTGACCCGCTATCAGACTACGTGTCAACGCGTTGGTATCGTCCTCCAGAGCAGGAGTTGCGGTAGGTTTGCGGTGAAGAGGTTCTTTCACCAAGATACCTATAACCGGTGAATTTTGTTAGTCTTGACCGCTATTCATTTGATGCCGACGTTTGGAGCGTCGGCTGTGTTCTCATGGAACTGCTAACGGGTCGACCACTCTTCCCGGGAAATACCCAAATCGAACAAATGTAGGTGCTCCTATCTTCCGTTTTGCCTGTAGCGCAGCATCACTGATTTTTAGTACTCAAATGTGCACAGTAACCTCATTCAGAGATACCTGGGCCCCCTCCCGGCCGCACTTCATGCTAGAGTACCACGAGGTGTCACCTCTGTTCAAACAGCATCCAAATCTTATCAGGAGTTGCTAGGCGAGCGACCTCTTCCTGAAGGAACGTTGGATTTTCTCGTCAACACTTTGCAGCTTGAGCCAAAGCTTCGCTTGTCGGCTAAACAGTGCCTTGAGCACCCGTTCTTGAAGCCATTTAGAGATGCAGAACTTAGAGATCGTGAAAAAAGACGCCGTTCAGGGCGAGCATCTCGTCTGAGAGATGACGAAGGTATTGAGGAAGACATACCAGGCGAGAAGCAGACATCGCATCAGAGAGAATTTAAAACTGACCAAAATGTTGCTGGTAGTGAGAGCCCCATCTCATCTTACAAGTCCTGTGTTGCCTTTATCAAGGGTGAAGAAAAGGAAGCTTCAAGTGTAGCCTCGGCAAAGTCAAAACATTCCCGGTGTTTGAATGGCCGAACCCCTAACACACACGATAACAACACCGACTGGGACAGCGATGACATCCAGGAAATCATTGAGACAGAGGAGGTCGATTCGTCGTCGCACTTTCGGATTCGACGGCTCATGGACAGCATCAACAACGACTGCAAGTTTCAGGACAACGCTCCTGCATCGAAAGGCGCCACTCGGCGCAGATCACTTACCGCCTCGGCAAAGGCAGTCATCGACCCTTTGGACGGTGATAGTTGCTATGACGACGACTTTGAAGAATATCACCACGGATACGAGTAGACAACAACAAAAAACTTTGTGTTTTTGCGGAAAACCCAGTTTTACCTCCTTTTATATTATACTTTTCATTTTGCGAATTTTACTGTTTCTGCGGGTAGTTCTTTTTTAAATCGTACTGTTTCCGCGCTTTGATATTTCAGAATTGGCTAAGATGGACGTGATCCTCACTCGCGCCGGGCTCAGCGCCTCTCAGCAGCGCTCGCTGTGCTTCGACGCTGCTAAAGATGAGGTGAAACAGACTGAGTTAAAGTTGACGGACGCAATTGTGTCGCTAAAGCGACTACAGGACGTGGTGCGTGTCGCACGAGACGTGCACAATACACAGAGGTCTGTCGTAACGCTACCTCCTGATGCGGAGGCGTCTGTTAAAGAGATGGCGCAGTCCAGCGCACAGATAGGTCCAATACTGCAAGATATCCAGTGCATGCTGAACGCGTTCACTATTTCTAGTCGATCACGCGGACCATCGGGATATTCGACGGAGGAAGAAGACGAAGAACAAATGACGTTGTCAATGAACGAGGGCAGAGCAAGGCAACAGTATTTAGGGCCTCCATCTTCAGACTCGTACCGAGCTTCGGGTTTAGGGTCGCCCGGATGGTCCATGAATCCGCGTACGAGTGGCCCTAAGTCAGCTGCAGCACCGTCGTTCTTTAGGGTGCGTGACCAAGGGAGAACCGTTGAGCCGACACCTCGAGCGGTTTCTGGTTCACAGAGGACGAACGCAAGCTATGACACTGCATCAGACGGGGTAGCATTAGGTGCGGAACATGTTGGTCAAAAGCGACGCGCTACTAGTCTCCCGCCTCCAGTTGCGCACTCTTTTTTAAGGCCGACTACGGGAGCAGACCTATTCATCCGTCGTGAGCTCGAACGACAAAGTATTTGGCCACGACACGGCCAATATCAGCTCCTTCACAGCAGACCACGCTCCCCGGTACAGCAAAGTGAAAAGAAGGTGGCACAAGTGATCGACGGCCTGCAAAAGCGATTGTCCAAGCTTTCAGACGAAGGGCAGGGCAACATCTTTTCCTCCAGTATTAAGTCTGCACTGAAGGTAGCTCGACTAACGCAAGTAAAAGGTGAGGAGGCTAGTGTTCAGATCGCTGTTAACGATGCTCGTTCTGCTGCAAGTGAGCTGCTAGATCGGGACCTCAGCTTGCCCGATACCCTCGATCGTTTTGAAGATATACGCCAGATTCTGGCTGTGGTCGTTCGTGCTGCTACGGAGACGAATGGAGAAATGGAGGGCTCAGAACTGCGTGATCTACTTGACCTTCTCAAAAATCTTCAAGACACCTTTCCTGGATCGGCTGCGCGCTTTAAATGGTACGTAAGCTTGACAACAAATAACTGTGTTAGATTGGTATTGATGATGCCAATTGCTCGCAAATTCTTGTGTACAGGTGCAGTACTCAGCTACGCAAGTTTATCACGCAAAAGTACAAAAGACCTGAGCATCAAGCTGTGACTGACAAAGAGAGGCTGTCATCGGCTCTAGCTGAGACTCGGGGATGGGAGACTGTGAATGACTACACCGCTTCGAGATTCGGAGACATCATGACATTCGTGTCGGAAATTCTTGAGGGGTCATACGAAGGATGGGAGCCACGAAAGGATTATTGTCTTGCAGAACTGATCGGGATCATGATTATTCGGCTGGGCGCTTTTCGAGATAGTCATGTTCAGCAAGGGCGCCTGTTCGACGTACACGGGTGGCTGGCTGTACAAGATGTCTGGGGCTTCCTTTTCACCGTCGCTTGACCTGAAGTCAGTTCCTCCCCCGCATATGACGAGAGTATATGTGACGCCAAATCAAGGATTCCGCGCAATGGAAGACGTCGAAGAAGGATTCGACCGTCTTTCGAAGGCAAAAGCGTCTAAGTCCTTTGAATTTCTTGCGATAACGTCGTACACTTTTCTCGCCACGGCTCTCACAACTCAGAACCGAAAGCTGCTGCCAATCAACGAGCTTATTCGTTTTAACGAGAGCCTCCAGTTTTTGAAGGAGCTCAACATTGAAGGAGAAAGCTGGGCAGTCCTGCAGTCGTATCAAGTGCTCGAGAAGATCCTCTACCTAATGCGTCTGCTTATTCACCAGCATCCAGAATACGTGGAGATATCTGGCGGGTACGCTTTTGCGCTTGGTTGAGTTTGTTCTGTTGCCGCTGTGTTACTAAATTTTCTGCTCCATATTTTTTGTCTCCAGTACCGTCGACGCACTGTTAACACTGTTCCCGCCTTCGAAGCGGCCGGTATTCGTGTATCCAACCAGCGCAACCGTACCAGAATCTAACCCCGATTCTGGCAGCGACACTTTTATTGATGAGCTTATCGACGACTAGCGAGGCTACGTGCTAATCGTGATCCATGGCGATATGGTGTTTTACATTTTCAGCGAGTACAGTGGTCTAGTAAGTTTGTCATTTTAATGGTATGCATAACCCAGCACGATCTATCTCATCAGTTCTGCGCAATAATTCTGGCTTTGATCTTTCGTGGTGGTAACGCTCTGCAGTCTTGGCGGTACTTGCACCGCGGTAGGCTACGTCTACACCTAACGTAGATGTAGAATCATTCTGACAGCTTAACCTCGCAGCTACGCCGCGTAGTACGCGTGCAGCAAAACAAACTTCAAGAGTACGAACTGCTTCGAAAAGTATGCTACATGTACATGTACGGTGCTACAGCTACCGGTACGACTTCCATCATGCACAGTTACGCGCCGTGAACGGCAGTGTAGTTGTAGTATACTTGGTTCTCGTACTCACTATCGCAGTACGGGAACTCAGCGTCCGAATCCGTCGGCGCGAACAGCGTCTTGCCGTACGTGTACGTCACGTAGCAGCCCAGGAAACCGCACACAACCACGACAATCAGCGCCTGGATCTTCTCGTACAGCGGGATCTCGTGCCACAGCTTCTTGAGCAGGAAGATAATGGGCAGCAGAATACTGATCAACGTGATGCACGAGGCCCCCACGAAGTCCACCAAATCGGAGAAATGGTCCTTCAGGATTATCGATAGGATGACTAACACCACAATGATGGCGACACGCAGGATCACGTACTTGATGGCGTTGATTCCACGATACTCGGCAGCTTCCGCCTCAGCATCATCAAAGTAAGGGCCCTCGGCGTCTGCGTTGGAGATGTACGACATTTTTGACGAGCGGCGATCGTCGCCGTTAACGGCGTCCTTACCGGGTGTGTTGGCAGCGGCGTACGAAGAAGCCCCGTAGGTGAGAGCATTTTCCACATCGTCCTCCTGCTTTTGGTGCATTTTTAAAACTAAGCGTTCAGCGAGGTAGAAGGCCGGGTTCAGGATGACCGAGAAGGCGATCGTAATGTGCAGCTGCACGAAGAAGTAGGCCATGACGACGGCGCCCCAGTCCGACTACCGATGTACCAATCATGCGCATGATTTTCAGTTGCTTCTTCTCGAACTCGTCCTTCTTCTCTGCACTTGCAGTTTCGATCATCGCCTTCGTCATCGTACCAGTGGCAATGTCCTTCAGGTCTTGTTCCTTGAAGACGTTCAACAGCGCCCATTTATACGTCTGCCAATCCTTGCCGTTCCAGTTTTTCGGCACTCCATCGCTTGTGTACTTCATCGGTTTAGTCATCGTCACTAACCGAACAAAGTGGCGTCACTTGGGCTCAATAACCCTTTTGGAACTTGGTTCCGTGCACTTTCACACTTGCAATGAAAAAGAAGACTGAATTATTTGAGCGTTGCGCTCCACCAGAGCTCCTAACAACACTCACGGGTTCAACCCCGTTCTCATACAACGATCTGATCTACTAGAGTCTCACCTATTTTCTCAGTAGCAGCTTCTCAGCTCCTTTCCCAACTCCGTTTAACCAGACTGAATTCCAACACTGGCAACCTGCTATACTCCATCTACCCGGACTCGACGAGCGGCCTCACCACACTGGGGTTCAAGTACCGGCAGACGTCCTGCAACAACTACGCGATAAGGAGACTGGATCGGAGATGTGGACTGAGCTTTGTAACCTGTATGAAGGGAAACAAAGTGAAGCAATTTAGGCCATGATCCGTCGCGTGGAGAATGAGCTTTGGAACACGAAACTCGTACCTGGAGGAGATGCAAATCTTCATCTTTGCAAGATGTTCAATCTCAAGATCGAACTTGGCGATCTGAGTCACACTGTAGCAAGCTACTAGCAGATAACACGGTGGTGGATATGCTACTTGAGAGTTTACCAGATCAAATCGAATTTGAGCGTTTGAAGTCTTCCATTTACTATGGCGCAGACCCTAGTGTGTACACACCAAAGAGGGTTCGAGAGTTAATTCTTGCAGCGGCCGCTCGGCAAACGGAGTTCAGAAGCAAACGCAGCGAGAAGAAAGGAGGCCAAAGAGGAGGACAAAGCAAAAGTGGTGATCAGGACCGAGTGCATTCACAGCAAGGGAAGACCGGCGGGTCTAAAAAGACGCGTCAATGCTTTGTGTGTGGGAGCGAAGACCACATTCGTGTCGATTGCCCAGAAAAGGTCAAGAAGCAAGGCGGAGCAGGCGAGACCGAGCAGAAACGCAAACCTCGTGGAAACTGCACGCTACGACATGAGATAAGAGTTCCTTTGAGTCTGACGACCAACAACTTGGATGAGGGAGTGGTGGGTGGAATCAGAGAGCCACGAGATACTCTCAGTGACCAAGAAGAAACACACGAAGTGGGAGAGCCCATGAACGATCATATTACTGAAGTAATTGAGGATCGTCATGAGGACAACGTCCTAGCAGTTGATCATGTACGTCATGGTGAATCGGCTGCTGATCATGGAGCAGAAACCGTTGCAGTTCATCTACAAGACAGTGATCAAGCTGCTGTGAAGTCAAGTGGTAACTGGTGGTACTTTGATACGGCTTCAAATTCGCATGTGACAGGTAACTTTTCTGAGTTTGTGTCTTATACTGAGGATACGAATAGTGTGCAAAGTATTCGTGGAGTAACACCCGCAATTGCGTCACGCATTGCTGTGGGAACAGTTGCATTAACCACCGAAGTCGATGGAGAACAAGCTGTGACTTACGTTGAGGACGTGTTTTACATCCCTGGCGCAGAGTATGGTTTGTTCTCGCCTGGGCTTGCGATTGGGCAAGGTTTTGACTTTCACTATGACACTACAACACGGACCTTTACAGTCTCTCGAAAAGGGAGAGTAGTGGCTATGGCCACTCCTCAAGATGCAACTTGGGGATTCCAAGCAGCAGATCCGTCTCAAAGAGCAATTGTGCGACCGAATGAAGGTCCTTTGTGTAATTACACAATGGCCGATGGAGTTGGGTCTTTGGCGCTTTGGCACGAGCGACTGTGTCATACATGTCCTCAGTATCTCAAGACAATGGTCGGCAAAGGATTAGTGTGTGGCATGTTGCTGACTCAACGTCAACAAGACACATGCGATGCGTGTCATCTCGGTAAGCAGAAGAAAAAGGCACATCGCAAACAGTTGGATCGGAAAATTAAGAAGCCTAACCAAGTGGTGTTTGCCGACTTACTAATTCCCGAGAAAACGAATGCAACTCAGTATCAAGCTGTGTTAGTAGTCATGGACGGTTTGTCCCGTTTTGTTAAGATCTTCTTGCTGAAGGACAAGAGTAGCAAGACCGTGAACAAGCACATGAAAGAATATATTCTCTGGGCCGAGCGACAAGCAGGTCGCAATACCAGTGATGCTCAGTACAAGGTACAGCAAGTATGGAGCGATAAAGGCGGCGAATTCTTCAATGATGAAATTGCAGCATGGTATGCCTCCAAAGGTATTGAACACGTAAAAGTTGGGCCTAAAAGTTCACAGCTGAACTTGTGTGAAAGGACTCATCAATCATTGGAGGGCATGAGCAAAGCCACGATGGCACATGCTGGATTCCTACGAAGCCTCTGGCCTGAAGCGATGCGAAACGCGGTGTATGTGAAGAATCGAGTCTACAATAAGGGAACTCGAGGTGTTCCATACGAGAAGATGTTTGGTGTCAAACCGGACTTACACCACATCAGAAAATTTGGTGCACTGGCGTATGTACATGTTCCAGTCACTGGACGAAAGAAGCAACAAGCAAATGTCAAGATTGGCTATGTGCTTGGTTATGCAGAAGATGTGGTGGGGTGTAAAGTGTACTTTCCTGAAGAACACACAGCGAAATTCGTACCTGATCTTCGAGTAGCAGAAGATGTAGTTTATCGGGATCGCCATGAAGTTGAGGTGAGTGAGGATGGATTAACCTCGCTTCATTTCTCTCATCGAGATGACGAGGACTATGACTCTCGTGATGATGACGGGATGAGTGAGTTGAGCGAGCTCAGTGACATATCACCTCCTGAACTCGAGGGGGGTGAGTATGAAGAAGAACAAACGCAAGAGGTTGGTGGCAACCAGAACTACAAATCTGTGGATGAGGAGCAAAATGTTAGCGTTCCTGAAGATTGTAGTATTCCTAAATGTTGCGAGAATAGTGACGGCAAACGTAACGAGGAAAGAACCGATGTCGCTGAAAGTGAAAGTGGATCAGTGGCTGGAACCTGTGGATCGTCCGTTGCCGAACAGGAGTTTGATGATGATGAAGAACAGATTCCTAGTGATGAGGAAACTACTGTCGCGAGTGTTTTAGCACCAGATGAGACCAGTGAATGCGGCGAGGTGACTCAGCTACAAAGTGACTTGGTACTGGAACAGAACACCGAGATATCTGTCGGATGTAGCACAAATCTTGCAGAAGACGAAAATGGAGGATATTGTCGTGATGTGGTTGATGCAAGCACGGTCATCCCTATGGTACAACAGAAACAAACAGGGAAACGAACACATCATGAAGAGACACCTTCAGAAGTAGTACGAGTTGAGCAAGATGCTGCTAAGAACGATGCGAAGAAGACTCGCACTGGCCTTAGAGAGTATCACGAGCGGTGACGACCTCGTTACTATGATGACTTTGTGATGAGCGTGACGCTCAGCACACCACGCATTTTGGACAAGAACGGTCGGCCTATTAGGGCAAGTGACGTACAAATACCTCGAAATCGTCGTGAAATGCTGCGGTCAAAGTGGAGAGAGTTTTACCTCCAGGCTGAGATGGAAGAAATGGCTGTTTTGACAGCAAAGGGTGTCATAAATGAGATTCCCGATGAAGAGAAGCCAAAAGACGCATTGCTTGTGCGCACGATGTGGGTATACGCCCTGAAGTCTGATCACCAAGGATATGTGATTAGATTCAAGGCGCGTATTATAGCTCTTGGGAATCGCCAACGACCTGGCATCGACTTTCGAGAGACGTTTGCGCCGGTTGCAAGGATGTCTTCGTTCCGGTTGCTATTGGCGATCGCAGCTGAGTTGAATCTGAGTGTATACGGTGGCGATATAAACACCGCGTACTTGAATGCCTGGCTGGGAATCCAACAGTATCTGCATTCCATCGACGGATACCCATGTAAGGTGAATGGACATGTGTATGTCGTACTGAAAGCGTTGTATGGTTTACGCCAGTCAGGACGTGAGTGGAATTCCGAGCTCAACCAATGGTTCATCGACCATGGCTACCAGCGGTCGTCAACTGAGCCTTGTTTGTACTACCGGTTTGAAGGAGAAACGATAGCCTATGTACTAGTGTACGTAGATGATATACTGGTGGCAACAAACGACGAACAGTACAAGAAGAAACTGTTCAACGAATTGAACAAAGCCTATGGGTTTAAGGATCAAGGATTGCTAAATCAGTATCTGGGCGTGGAAGTAAAGCAATCATCGGAGAAGATAGTGATTCATCAAGGCAAGTATGCGCGTGAGATCCTGAGCAAATTTGGATACCAGAATGCACATGCTGTGGGAAATCCCATGGAAACCAACGTACGCATGGCTCCTATGAAAGATGATGAGGATTCGGACACTAGTTTTCCATACCGTGAGGCAATTGGAATGCTAATGTATTTGGCCACAAGTACGAGACCAGATTTGGCGTATGTCGTGGGTCAGTTAAGTCGATTTGTGGGGAAGCCATCACCGAAACACGTATGTACACTGAAGCGAGTGCTGCGCTACGTTGCAGGTACACTGGATCATGGAATTGAGTATTTGAGAAAGCAAGTCAAGACAAATGAAGTAGTCCTTGAAGGATTTTGTGATAGTGATTGGGCCAGTGATCCAGAGCAACGCAAGAGCACTACAGGCTTCATTTTCTTGTTAGCTGGTGGAGCAATTGCATGGATGTCAAAACGCCAATCGATCATTGCACTGTCAACAGCTGAAGCAGAATATGTGGCTGCGTGCGAAGCTAGTATGGAGGCAGTAGCGGAGAGCAACATTTTGCAAGAAATTTTGCCGCATCACCATATTATTTTACGCATTGGGATCGACAATCAAGCGGCTCATGTAATGGCTACGAATCCTACATACAGCCGTCGAACGCGTCACATTGAGCTGCGCTGGCATTTCGTGCGTGAACAAGTGCAGAAAGGTGTCATTGACTTGCACAAGGTGAAGGGAGAGGTAATTCCGGCGGACATGTTCACGAATCCTTTTGATAAGAAAAAATTGGGAGAGATGCTGCGACTGGCAGGAGTTGGAGATGCGAAATAGTCAAAGAGTGCTCTTCGAGGTGGGCGTGTTGGAATTCATTTCAGAGGTCTGGCTAAACGGAGTTGGGAAAGGAGCTGAGAAGCTGCTACTGAGAAAATAGGTGAGACTCTAGTAGATCAGATCGTTGTAGGAGAACGGGGTTGAACCCGTGAGTGTTGTTAGGAGCTCTGGTGGAGCACAACGCTCAAATAATTCAGTCTTTTTTTTCATTGCAAGTGTGAAAGTGCACGGAACCAAGTTCCAATAGCCAGTGATCTGGCAGCCCACGGACGAGTACGCCGTGCTGGCGAGGATCAGGAACAAAACCGAGATAAAGGCCATCGTAGCGAACACCACGCGAGGCATGCGTGTAGGCTCGCTGTGCTGACGCTGCAGAGCTGGGATCACAATGCCGGCGTTGTAGGCCAGCGAGAGGTTACCGAACATACCCGCGACCTGCGAGAACTTGATGTCGGGTGACGGAGGCGTTGGGTGTCCCCGCATGCCATACATGACGACGGCCACGCCGATGACGTCGGCAATGAGCGTTCCTGCGCAACCGGCAAAGGCGGCACCGGCACCTTCCTTGAGTGTCGGAATGAGGCACACGGGTAGACACATGAGCGCCATGAAGCAGATCCAGTAGCTAGTGCTGAAGGCGTCTGGGAAGAGGCCGTCCAGTAGAGTACCGCCCAACACGAGAAGCACGCATGGCACAAGAAGACACGAGGCCATCTGCGAGACGACTGAAAGCCAGCGACCCCACTTGCCCATGCACCATTCACCCAGGTCGCTGTAGGTCCTGACACTTTTGGGAGCCAAAAGCATGACGCGGCAGATGGCCACGGATGCACACACGTTGGCAAATGCCATGAAACCCATACCGATGACGGCCAGGACGGGCCCGGCGCGCGAGAAATTGCCGGGCATACCGAGTGTACCAATTCCGTAGACGCAGCAGAAAATATTGAGCGCCATCTTGAGATCCTCCGCGGTGAGGAACTTCTTGATGCAGGCCATGTTTACAGGTGGCAAGTCGGCGAGGAAGGTCGGGCGGGGCAAATTGAAGAATGGCAAAACTAAGTCGATGCAGCAGTGAGTGTATCGGAGACGCACCCGGTAGGTGACCCGTGTTTGTCAAAATGCATCGGACAAGACCGAGTGCAACGTAAGAGATACGGAGCTTGCCGACGAAGGGGATGCGCATCCAGACTGCACTCACTGAGTCGGACGTCAACGTTCATCCAATTCAGGCATTCGTCCAAACACCTCAGTGAATCCTGCTCGGCGGCTCTTTGCACGATGTTGTCCACTATTATATCGGCGTATCATACGCATATTGACGATGGTCATGTTGAAGTGCACAGCAGGGGCGACAAATGTAGATAATGTTTTGAGCTACTAAAAGCTGGCCCCTTTGAGTATCTTCATGATCTTGCGGACTCCGCAGAGGAGGGGCACGCAGCATTACCTCGCGTACGCTTGCTGTATACAGCCATGACCGAGTACGTGTACTTGTACATGAAAGTATAAAGGATGAGGTCATTCCGACGCAAGAAGCTGAAGAACTGTAAACGTACTTAGCACATGCACCCATACTATGGGTGCATGTGCCTATGGGCCATAGGGTGCGACTATAACGAGCTCTTCAAGAAACAAATCGACTCGATGATCGAGGTTGAAATAAAAAGATTTGGGGCATCGAAGACTCTTCGACGAAGAGGGGGCCATTAAATCAGCTGCACTACCTTCTCGCCGCTTTCACTTGCCAAACGAATTCGTCTTCGATACGCTCGCACTGCGAGTCGCAGGTGGAGCCTATGCGACCATCAAGTGAGATTTCGTGAGTTGGGCATAAGGGCTTGTTTCGCGTCGCCGGCGATCACCTTGCGGGTATGTCTCTGCTAATAGTACCTATAGGAGAAACTACTATGGACTCCAAAAAGTTTGAAATGGACTGAGCTTGAGTTTTTGCCAAAGACTCTTTGGTATACAGTTTAGTGATGCGCTCGCCCGCACGGCTGCTGTCGACGACGACTCGAGAGTCTTGAGATCGGAGGAAGAGTGCGAGCATTCTGGTGCCTTGCGAGGAGCATCACCCGATAATACGCCGCGGGTCTTGTTGCCTACAGTTGCATTGTGATGGGGGGGGTCTCCGATACGGTGCATGTACATGTACTTGTTAAAAATACGGTGCAGTGCATCGTGCACATCCCGCGACGTGACGGGTGTCCGGCGACTCGCCGGCGGCGAATACAAGCTGTATAACCCGATCAAATTAATTTGATTACCAGTTGCCGCATACATGTAAATATGCATATTTTGGGATCGAGAGTCGAACATGCAAGTAGAAATCGTGCGGCGAATTTATTAAATACATAACCGGTACATTTATTAATCAGGTGGCTGGCTGTATTACCAGAAACGGTACACATTCACTTTTGCTGACCCAATCCCCGGTGACGGCTTGCGCGTCGACCGTGACGCCTCCAGGGTCACGAGCGGGGAGTTTTAGGGGGCTGTAATTTATCACTTGCAATTTTCTGGTTCTGGTAAGTGGATAAAATTAGCGAACAAAATCACCGACTAGCACTCCTAGCAAATTCCAAAATCAAATGATGGTTACAAACCAATACCCCCCCCTCTTTTCTCCGTTAAGCGCTTTCCTATTCCCCACGTAGACAGTTGTGACCGGTAGAGCTCACACCATTCATTTCTTTAGCCATCATTTTCTAATGTTAAATATGTGAGGTCCAAACAAAATTTCAAATCCGCAACGTTACACCATATCGGTTAATAGAACCGTATTCCACATGGTATGAACACCCCTACTTTGATGGCGAGCTTAAAGCTGATAAAATGTGAAGAATACCGAACCTGGCCTGAATAACACACAGATTTTTTGTGTGTGTTTTTAGATGCGTTAAAAACCGGCAAGGCGACCCAGTTTATGGCAGTCTCCCATCAGAAAGGCCGGAGCAAGAGAGTCTCCCGTCAGAAAGGCCGAAGCAAGTGAGTCTTGAAGACTTGCTCTTGTTACCGTGTTTTGACTGGTGACCTACCTGTTTTTGCTATTCGCTTAAATCGTGTGTACACATAATTGTGTGGCGTGCTGTACCGGTGTTCATTTTGAAAGATGAACGCTGACGACGCAAACGACTTGTACTCTAGCGACAGCGACGACCATCTGCAAAAAGCAGCAGGCAGCAGGCAGCAGGCAGATCGGCGCTAAGGAGCAACAGCATAACGAGGGCTTGATCGATCTCGCAGGAAGCAGTGATGGTTCCTCGGCAGGTAGCCCGCTTACGAAGATTGAGGCAGCGTCTGCTGCTGAAGCGAGCGTTCGCAGTTACGGTGGTCGTGCCAAAGCACACAAACGCATTACAATATTCGTTTTATTCAGTATTGCGGATGAGGGTGTTAAGGGCTGAGAGATAGTTGATTTGCGCAGTAAGGACGTATTGCGCAAGTGTAAAGCAAGATTAACACGTACTTCATGCGACGCAAACCGACGTATTGAGCGTGAGGGGCACGCTCACGGTACGAATATTGAAACTACTGTACTTTATAATCATTCACTGTACCACACAACTATTTACTGTACTACTACAAGTACCGTAACTAGACTATATGTACCGTAGACGGTACTGCGTACAATAAATGTAAAAAACTTACCGTAAACGTAAAAAACTTACTGTAAATTAAAATAAAGTACTGAACAAATATTTTTGTCTTTTGTTTTGTATAGCGACACAATTGAATTTGCGGTGACGATGGACGGACCCTTTTGGATATTCTGCAGGATGCGAGGAAGCACCAAAGCTCGCCAATACGCATTGGCTCGAATCGACATGACTAACACCGAGCGTCAAACACGTGATGAGAAGTTTCTACGGAGTCAAGCTGGAAAGGAAGCTCGTAAGTCATTTTGGCAGACGCCACGCGACGGGGTTTCTTCAGACAGCGATGATGAAGATCCTAAGGACACCTTTGAGTTGATACAAATGAGCCTGCACGATACTGAGATCCAGCTTTGTGGTGCTCCACATAGCTTACTACTGAAGCGCATGTATAATGAGTACGCCAGACGTATGCGTGAAGCTGAAGAGCTGCGGAAAAGACAGAGAGCGAGGAGAAAACAACTATCGAAGGCTGATGCCCATAAAAAAAGTCTGTTAAAGCTCAGCCATGACTTGTTTCCGGAGCAACATGATGCATGCTAGACGAACGAAACAAGAGAATACCCTACAAATGAGAAAGGTGTCTAAACGTCAACGCCAAGCGGCTTCTATTGTTATGTAGTTGGAAAACCCGCAGTCCGATAATGTCGGAATACAGCTAGCCACCTAAATGACACATTCCATTGACCACCAACATCAGTATTCAAGGTGAGGGGTACTCCAGAACACTACTCCAACATGAGCGGACCTCTGTTGAGTAGTGGTCGGCCTGCTGGAGTGTTACCGGATTCAGCATACGTCGATTTATTCTTCCGCACGATGTTTCTGTTCACTAAAATTCTCCTTCCCTGGCTGTTTACGCGGTGAGATGCCAGTCGGGCATCAAGTAAGTGAATGCAAGAGCCAAACTTTCTCCAATACTTGCACTGGCACCATCCCGACGACACATCAGCAAGCCAACCCTCCATGGGTTGCCCCATATATTCCATACGCGCGTAGTTCCATCCCATCTGAGCTGTTACAGCTAGATACTCTTCCGTTCTCTTCTTGGATGGAATGTAGAACCAGGGTGCCGGTTGCGAGACTACTCGAATTAGGTTAGAGTTCGGACAACCGGTAGGCTGTGGATTAGCTTGCAGCAATTTGTCACTTCCCAGTTGCTTGGCTCGAGGTAGACGTGATGTTGTTGGTTCAGGATTCAGATGAAAGAGCGGTGCTTCCTGCGACTCGTTCGTACAGCTCTCAGAGAGCACGATAATCAACATGCCCATTTTCAGACGCGCTCTCAAGGAGTAGTCGCGCTTAATGATTCTATTGAATTGCTCCACAGGATTGTTGGTAGTAGCATATCCAGGCTCCAGATAACAACACTGCCATTTCGAATACTGCGTGCTTAGCCACTGCTTCGTGAAATAAGCAGCGAATGGGGCAATATCACTTCGAGAACTCCATTGCCCAAGGTAAAACTGCGTCACTTGAGCCAGTTCGCCAAGCGTAGCCGAAAAGTGCATATCGTAAATCTGCGCTAATACATTATTTGCCACACTATCAGGAAGATGCCTGGTTTTCTCCTGCACCTTCTTCATGACGTGAAAAAAACACATTAGAAACACAAAATCTGAGTCGAATCGAAATACCTGCTCCAGAGCGTTTAACTGTCCATCATCCGCGTCTCCCATAACAAACTTCTTTCGAACTTGCTTTCCAATGACCTCTGCGTAAATCGACCGGAACGCGAGCAGCGCCATTGCGTACACACTCTCCACTCGATGCGAGATTATACAGAACGCCACCAGGTGAAACTTTCGCGCGCGATCCGAAATTCCCATTACGAGCACAGGATAGCCGACCTGGGAGAGCTTGAAAGTAGCATCGATGTGGAATATAAAAGTTCCTGGGTCACGGTCCATGAGTCGTAACAAATTTCTGGTAGTCAGCCCCACAATAAATGGTTCCTCATCCGAGCCGTCACCAACGATAAGGTCGCCATCAGTTGTTTTACTATAAGTAAATGTGATTGGAGCTGAGTCACCTTTTGAGGTTTTGTAAGCCAGATCTCGCACCGCAGTCGTAATATCTTCGTGCTCGTCGTTGTAGCCAAGCTGCGTTTTGAAATAGTAGCTGACAAAGTTCTGAATCGCGCGAAGACGTGGTAGCCTCTCTCCCTCCAGCCCATACTTTTTTCTAAGAGCGCTCCAAATACGAACCGGTTTCAATCGGTATGATACGAGCTCCTGGCAAAAGAGCTTTTGCTGTCGCGTCAGTCCTGCTTCGCGGGGTGACCTCGCCACCGAAAAATGATTGCCAATCTCATACAAATCCATCATTCGCGTCACCGTGCACGTCAAAAATTTTCCTCTCCATCCACAACTCACGCCGGAGCCTGCTATTTGGCATGCTTTTGACTTACACCGCAGTAATTGATACTTCATTGTATGCTTGATCGGGTCCGCGCAGATAGTGCATGAGGTCATGTTAGCCTTGGTAACACGAGTAGCCTTTCCCGAGTCCAGTAGTTCATGCCCTTCCTCCTCGGCCAACGAGACGGCCAGCTCTCTCCACTCAAGCTTCTTAGGCATATCTCCGACCCGTGACCGGGAGAAGCCTTTAATGAATGACAAGTCACTATTTGCTGAATTTGTTTTGGCACTGTCAGACTCTGTACATGTAGAGCCAGCCAATGCCACATCTTTTATGTCTTTCTGTGGTGGGACCCACTTTTTGTGTGTTGGTCGACATTCCTATGTGTGAATCTGCAATGTGCTGTGTATACCAGATAAGCTATGTGCTTTTTTAATTTTGCTGTGGTTTCACGCAGTTGATGTGCCGAAACGTAAAGTTCGGTGATATCTAGTGGTTGCCGTGGAATACGGTTCTATTAACCGATATGGTGTAACGTTGCGGATTTGAAAGTTTGTTTGGACCTCACATATTTAACATTAGAAAATGATGGCTAAAGAAATGAATGGTGTGAGCTCTACCGGTCACAACTGTCTACGTGGGGAATAGGAAAGCGCTTAACGGAGAAAAGAGGGGGGGGTATTGGTTTGTAACCATCATTTAATTTTGGAATTTGCTAGGAGTGCTAGTCGGTGATTTTGTTCGCTAATTTTATCCACTTACCAGAACCAGAAAATTGCAAGTGATAAATTACAGCCCCCTAAAACTCCCCGCTCGTGACCCTGGAGGCGTCACGGTCGACGCGCAAGCCGTCACCGGGGATTGGGTCAGCAAAAGTGAATGTGTACCGTTTCTGGTAATACAGCCAGCCACCCGATTAATAAATGTACCGGTAATGTATTTAATAAATTCGCCGCACGATTTCTACTTGCATGTTCGACTCTCGATCCCAAAATATGCATATTTACATGTATGCGGCAACTGGTAATCAAATTAAGTTGATCGGGTTATACAGCTTGTATTCGCCGCCGGCGAGTCGCCGGACACCCGTCACGTCGCGGGATGTGCACGATGCACTGCACCGTATTTTAAACAAGTACATGTACATGCACCGTATCGGAGACCCCCCCCATCACAATGCAACTGTAGGCAACAAGACCCGCGGCGTATTATCGGGTGATGCTCCTCGCAAGGCACCAGAATGCTCGCACTCTTCCTCCGATCTCAAGACTCTCGAGTCGTCGTCGACAGCAGCCGTGCGGGCGAGCGCATCACTAAACTGTATACCAAAGAGTCTTTGGCAAAATCTCAAGCTCAGTCCATTTCAAACTTTTTGGAGTCCATAGTAGTTTCTCCTATAGGTACTATTAGCAGAGACATACCCGCAAGGTGATCGCCGGCGACGCGAAACAAGCCCTTATGCCCAACTCACGAAATCTCACTTGATGGTCGCATAGGCTCCACCTGCGACTCGCAGTGCGAGCGTATCGAAGACGAATTCGTTTGGCAAGTGAAAGCGGCGAGAAGGTAGTGCAGCTGATTTAATGGCCCCCTCTTCGTCGAAGAGTCTTCGATGCCCCAAATCGTTTCATTTCAACCTCGATCATCGAGTCGATTTGTTTCTTGAAGAGCTCGTTATAGTCGCACCCTATGGCCCATAGGCACATGCACCCATAGTATGGGTGCATGTGCTAAGTACGTTTACAGTTCTTCAGCTTCTTGCGTCGGAATGACCTCATCCTTTATACTTTCATGTACAAGTACACGTACTCGGTCATGGCTGTATACAGCAAGCGTACGCGAGGTAATGCTGCGTGCCCCTCCTCTGCGGAGTCCGCAAGATCATGAAGATACTCAAAGGGGCCAGCTTTTAGTAGCTCAAAACATTATCTACATTTGTCGCCCCTGCTGTGCACTTCAACATGACCATCGTCAATATGCGTATGATACGCCGATATAATAGTGGACAACATCGTGCAAAGAGCCGCCGAGCAGGATTCACTGAGGTGTTTGGACGAATGCCTGAATTGGATGAACGTAGACGTCCGACTCAGTGAGTGCGGTCTGGATGCGCATCCCCTTCGTCGGCAAGCTCCGTATCTCTTACGTTGCACTCGGTCTTGTCCGATGCATTTTGACAAACACGGGTCACCTACCGGGTGCGTCTCCGATACACTCACTGCTGCATCGACTTAGTTTTGCCATTCTTCAATTTGCCCCGCCCGACCTTCCTCGCCGACTTGCCACCTGTAAACATGGCCTGCATCAAGAAGTTCCTCACCGCGGAGGATCTCAAGATGGCGCTCAATATTTTCTGCTGCGTCTACGGAATTGGTACACTCGGTATGCCCGGCAATTTCTCGCGCGCCGGGCCCGTCCTGGCCGTCATCGGCATGGCTTTCATGGCATTTGCCAACGTGTGTGCATCCGTGGCCATCTGCCGCGTCATGCTTTTGGCTCCCAAAAGTGTCAGGACCTACAGCGACCTGGGTGAATGGTGCATGGGCAAGTGGGGTCGCTGGCTTTCAGTCGTCTCGCAGATGGCCTCGTGTCTTCTTGTGCCATGCGTGCCTCTCGTGTTGGGCGGTACTCTACTGGACGGCCTCTTCCCAGACGCCTTCAGCACTAGCTACTGGATCTGCTTCATGGCGCTCATGTGTCTACCCGTGTGCCTCATTCCGACACTCAAGGAAGGTGCCGGTGCCGCCTTTGCCGGTTGCGCAGGAACGCTCATTGCCGACGTCATCGGCGTGGCCGTCGTCATGTATGGCATGCGGGGACACCCAACGCCTCCGTCACCCGACATCAAGTTCTCGCAGGTCGCGGGTATGTTCGGTAACCTCTCGCTGGCCTACAACGCCGGCATTGTGATCCCAGCTCTGCAGCGTCAGCACAGCGAGCCTACACGCATGCCTCGCGTGGTGTTCGCTACGATGGCCTTTATCTCGGTTTTGTTCCTGATCCTCGCCAGCACGGCGTACTCGTCCGTGGGCTGCCAGATCACTGGCAACCTGCTATACTCCATCTGCCCGGACTCGACTAACGGCCTCACCACACTGGGGTTCAAGTCGGACTGGGGCGCCGTCGTCATGGCCTACTTCTTCATGCAGCTGCACATTACGATCGATTTCTCGGTCATCCTGAACCCGGCCTTCTACCTCGCTGAACGCTTGGTCCTAAAAATGCACCAAAAGCAGGAGGACGATGTGGAAAATGCTCTCACCTACGGGGCTTCTTCGTACGTCGCTGCCAACACGCCCAGTAAGGATGCCGCTAACTTCGACGATCGCCGCTCGTCTAAGATGTCGTACATCTCCAACGCCGACGCCGAGAGCCCTTACTTTGATGATGCTGAGGCGGAAGCTGCCGAGTATCGTGGAATCAACGCCATCAAGTACGTGATCCTGCGTGTCGCCATCATTGTGGTGTTAGTCATCCTATCGATAATCCTGAAGGACCATTTCTCCGATTTGGTGGACTTCGTGGGGGCCTCGTGCATCACGTTGATCAGTATTCTGCTGCCCATTATCTTCCTGCTCAAGAAGCTGTGGCACGAGATCCCGCTGTACGAGAAGATCCAGGCGCTGATTGTCGTGGTTGTGTGCGGTTTCCTGGGCTGCTACGTGACGTACACGTACGGCAAGACGCTGTTCGCGCCGACGGATTCGGACGCTGAGTTCCCGTACTACGATAGTGAGTACGAGAACCAACTATACTACAACTACACTGCCGTTCACGGCGCGTAGCTGTGCATGATGGAAGTCGTACCGGTAGCTGTAACACCGTACATGTACATGTAGCATACTTTTCGAAGCAGTTCGTATTCTTGAAGTTTGTTTTGCTGCACACGTACTACGCGGCGTAGCTGCGAGGTTAAGCTGTCAGAATGATTCTACATCTACGTTACCACTACATGCATTTCGTGCAACCACTGTAAAAACTACATCATTAGAAATTGTAAATAATCAAAATCGGTAAAAACGGCAAACATAGTTCTCCGAATCAGTGGCTGGAAATCACTACAAGTTTTGACAGCCGATGCGCGAAGCGCTCCATACAAATGCGCACCGCCTCAAGGCGGTGGATGCGGCCTGTGAAAGCGGTGTCTCGACGAGCTTGACATCCGAAAATAAGTGCCACCGCTCTACGCTGTATCGATGGACGAAAAGAAGACAAGACATCGAAGCCGCTGCAGCCGGGAGCACTACTATTCTTCAAGGGCGTCGTGGGCCTAAAGTTGCTTTTCCAGAACTAGAAAAAAGTAAGATCATTGGAGTTTTATATATTATATTTTCTAACAAAATGCTGCTTTCTAGGCTTTTGGACTGGGTTCGTGACATGCGCAAGAACAAGGTGCGCGCTGTCACGTCGAGGTGCCTGCTCATGATGAGCGCACAGTTTGGAGTCAAGGGGTTTTGGATCCGTCAGCAGTAAAGCAGTACCTGAAAGAAGTTGACGTACTCAGTAACTACTATTGGGCGACTTCTCTATGTGGAAAAGCGCTCATTGAAGGACCGTTCAACACCACATTACAAACGACTTTAGCTTGAACGCTAAGGAAAGACGCAAGTTAATCACGTCTATAGTGCACGAGGCGTGGAGGGCAGTTTGTTCGAAAGTGCTCGACCCTCGGGTCGGCGCCTTCGTGTGCAACGCAGTCGCGGATTCCAACGCAAAAGGGAGAGTGAGATTCGGTCTTACTCTTCCTACTCATCCTATCCTTACTGTCTTCCACGTGGAGGTCTCACAGCCTCACGTTCTCCGCTCCATACGTACCACGCTCCAGCCACAAACCTCCGGCAGTAGCAGCTGCTCGTCGTTCCCTCGTCCAGAGTGATCCCGCGCATGCGCATCATCTTCCAACACTCCTCCTCGCCGACACTGCGTCCTGGCGGTGTGTTCCCAGCTCTTAATGCAATCCCACCTGATCTCGCAGCTCATCAAGTCTCGGGGCCGGCAACGCCTTCGTTAGGATGTCCGCAGGCATCCTCTTGCTCTCTCGATACTCCGGTCCCAGTACGCCTTCCTTGGTGAAATGTCCAACGAACTTGATCCGTACGTCCACATGTTTCGCTTTCGATGAAGCACCCTCACCTTCGAGTTGCTTCAGTGCAGCCTGGTTATCTACTCGTAGCGGCATCGGCTCTACGAACGCGATCTCCAGCTCCTTAAGCAGCTCTCTTACGCCTAGTAGCTCTTGCGCCATGACCGACGCTGCGGTGTATTCTGCTTCCATCGTAGACAAAGACACACCCGTCTGCTTCTTGCAGACCCAGCTTATGGGCATCCCGTCTACTGTGACGAGCCCACCAGTGACCGACTTCCTGTCGCCCTTATCAGCCGCAAAGTCCGCGTCACTATAGCCCACAACTTCCAGTGGCTCCATCCGCCCTCTGTCTCCTTTCATCCGCAGCCTCAGCTGCTTCGTCCCCAGCGAGATACCGCAGTACTCGCTTCGCCAACTTCCAGTCCGTGACCGTGGGTTCATGCGTTCGCCGCGACGCCTTGTGAACAGCAAAAGCTATATCTGGCCTTGTGCAGCGAGCTACCCAGAGTAGGCTGCCCACCAACGACTGGAACTTCTTCACTGTCGCAACCGCGGATGCACCGGAGATCGGCAATTTCTCTAGTTCGATGTCGCATCCATCACTCCATTCTAGTCCAATCGGCATCCGCGCTCCGTGCGCCATACCCATGCCGAACTCATTCAGCATCTCTGTGATCGTGATTTCTTGGTCGAGATCGTACCCATACGAGTCATCGTATACGACTCTCATCCCGAGAAACTTCCTGGCCTCTCCCAAATTCTTGATGGATAAGTCGGCAAGTTCTGCAAAGAACACATCCACGGCCTCCTGTCCCGTTCCGGTCACTAGTAGGTCATCAACATATTCGCCGACTACCAGCACTTCGCGCCCGTGTCGTCTGTAGTAGACACACATGTCAGTCAGGCTTTGTATGAAACCAATCCCTTTTAGCTTGCGATGCAGGAGCTCAATCGCACCTTCCGCATCCAGTTTAGTCTTGAATACCCATTTTCCGTGCAATGCGTGTGCTCCACGCGGGAGCTTCACCACCTTCCACACACCATTCTGTTCGAGAGCCTGCAGCTCCTCCGCGATGGCCCTCAGCCACCGCGACCGGTGTCGACTCTTCATTGCCTCTCGGTAGTTCCCTTGGGTTCGGCTCCACTAAACTGTTCACCACGTCGGGCGGAGTCTCCTCCTGACCTTCCAGGTCTGGGCCGACTCCTCCTGACCGTTGGACTACGGAACGCGTAACTGGGCGATCCCTAGTCCAGTTCTTCTTCTTCTTCCTTTTGGAGCGCTTCTTAGCGCTCCCACTCGCATTCCCTGCCTCGGCAGGTGCCATACCGCCCTCGGGCGTCTTCTTAGCAGCTTCCGACTCCTCCTGAGGTACGCCCTCGTCGTCCTGCAGGTACAGTCGCTGCACTTTCTCGTTCTGCTCTTTGTTGAGCGTCTCTATGTTCTTCACGTGTTGTGTCACGATCACGACCTTGTCCTTTGGCAAGTAAACCCTGTAGCCCTTTGTCTCCTCTCCGATTCCGACAATCATGCCTGCCTGAGCTCTCTGTGCAAAGTTTCGTTTCCGCGGGTCCCTGTAAACAGTACATGGGGACCCGAAAACAACTATCTCCCCTACCTGCGGCGTCTGCTTCGTCAGTACTTGAATCGGTGACGCACGCCCTGGGTTGGAGCTGGTTGGGGACCGGTTCAAAATGTACGCCGCGTATCTAACAGCATCTCCCCAGAAACTGAGAGGAAGCCCGCAGGCAAACACCATGCACCTGGCCATATTCATAATGGTCCCGGTGCATCCTCTCAGCCTTTCCGTTGCTTGCTTGGTTTCGCGCCTCGCTGCGCTGTCGTGCGACACCAGTTCTCTTGCAAAACAAATCTACGTTTTCGTACTCACCTCCGGAATCCGTTCGTAAGACGTGAATCCTGCAGTCGAACCGTTTCTCGAAGTAGACGAGGAACTCTTCGAACTTTCTTGCCGCTACATCCTTCGTCTTGGCGAGAAATACCCCACAATAGTTCGACTTGTGGTCGACAAAGTTTATCATGTATCTGTTACCCAGGCGATCTTTCGGGGTCATGGGTCCTTTAAGGTCGGAACAGATCACGCCTCCCACACGATCTGTGGGAGCATGCTCACCAGAGTCCTTGCTCGATTGTCTGTTCTTCGTCTGCTTGCCCTCGGCACAAGTCAGACAGTTCACTCTCCGTCGATCGGTCAGTTCGATGCCGGAGCTTGGCTCGCGTGCCAACCGCTCCACGGCATCATAATTCAGGTGCCCGAGACGTCGATGAAACTCGTCCAGCGTGCCCTTCTGCACATTGCTCGTCTCGCCGTCGGTCGCCGCCACCACCTCAGTGAGCGCGGCCATGATCACGTCTGACGCGAGTTCGCGCTTCTTCTTTACCGATCCGCACACAATCAGCACGTTCCTTCGTAGCTCAACGTCAAAAGCCACACGCTGTCCATTCTTAGCGGCCACGACGCGTCGTCCGCTCTTATAGGTCAGTGTGAAACCTTTTTCGTCTAATTTTCCGTACGATATCAAATTATGTACGACGCCCTCGGCATAGTACACGTCCGTAAGCATGAGTGTCTGCTCGGCACCGCATGCCGAGACTCTGAGTGTCAGTGTGCCCTTCTTTCTTATGCGCAACGGCTCACCGTTGGGCTGCACACACACGTCCTCGCACTCCTCCACTTCGTCCAGCCAGGACTCGTCACGGACTAGATGTCTACTAGAATCACTGTCCAGGATCCACATTTCCTCGGTCGCAACCGTGTCTTCCTTTACGGCAAGGGTCAAATCCGGTTCCCCGTCGCCTTCTCGCCCACGCTCCGGACACGCTGCACGCAGATGCCCAACTCGGCCACACTCGTGGCATTTACGCGTTTCTCTACCACGCGCCTCGCCAACTGCTCCCACCAGCTCTTTTCCAAGGCTGCGGTGCCTTACCGGATCTAACTCCCAGGCCTGCGCGAAGTGAGCCAGTTCTTCGGCCTGCTGCAGATAGTCCGTCCTGCTCGCGTCGACCTTGGCCATTAGTACCGTCCGTAACTCAGGAGACGCGTACTGCACTATATTATTAAGTGCAAGATAGTCAGCTCCGCCGCCGCACGCCTCGGAGATGGCTACGAGGTACATGTAGTGCTCCGACCAGTTGCGTTTAGCGTCCTTTGGTGCAGTGAAGAGCTTCATCGCCTGCGCAGGCGTGATTTTCGTCTTAAATGCTTCCAGCATACGTTCCATAACGTATTGCAGTGTGGGTAGTTGCGCCCACCACATGTCCACTTGCTTATTGTAGTACTGCTCCGCGGTTCCGGACAGGTAGTGTCCCAACAGATCCACCTCCACGTTCTCAGACCACCAGAACCCACAGGCTGACTGCGCAAGCTGTACTTGGCGCTCGAAACGGCGGCCCCACTCCAGGAAACCCGAGCCTAGCCCAACGTACAATTCTTTTCTATCGAATGGGCGTATCGACAACTTCTTCTGGCGAGCATCTGGATACCGTGCAGGCGTCCCTTGCTGCACTGGATAGCCGCCAGCACCACCTTGCACTCGTGCATCTTGTGGCTGCTGGGGCCCTGGTCCAGGTCGATCACCTTGGCCGCCTTGCGCTGCGGCAAATAGCCGCTGTAGATCAGAGAGTGGTACACCGTAACCCACCTGGTGCCGTCCGAAATACTGCGGTGGCGGCGCCGGTCGGCGTGGTGTTGTTGTGAGCGGGGTCTCTGGGGATCCCGCCAGCGAGTCGATGTGCATACGTGTCCCACGACCTAACCCCGATGCGAACAAACTCGAGTTCATCGGCGGTGTCATGAGTGGGTCGGCGGTGCGCGCGCGCTTCTCTCCGTCACCCAACCTTCTTTCGATCTTCGTCTGGGACTCTTCAAGCTTCTTGAGTCTCCCAGCGAGACCACGCATGATCTCCAACATCTCTGATGCTTGGTCATTACCGACGGCTTGGCCTTGGCCGTTGGTATTGGTACCGTCACCCCTTTCGTGAGTGACGGTGGTGCTCTTCTCTTCTATGTCTTCGGCCATACCGATCCTTTCGCGACCGGTAGCGGGTGCTGGCGTTGACGCTGGTGCGTCGTCGCGAGCGACCTCATCTATGGCATCGTTCATTGGGCTCAAAACCTGTTCGAAAGTGCTCGACCCTCGGGTCGGCGCCTTCGTGTGCAACGCAGTCGCGGATTCCAACGCAAAAGGTAGGGTGAGATTCGGTCTTACTCTTCCTACTCATCCTATCCTTACTGTCTTCCACGTGGAGGTCTCACAGCCTCACGTTCCCCTCTCCATACGTACCACGCTCCAGCCACAAACCTCCGGCAGTAGCAGCTGCTCGTCGTTCCCTCGTCCAGAGTGACCCCGCGCATGCGCATCATCTTCCAACACAGTTCCCCCCGAAACAATACAGCGGGGTTTTGTCAAGGCGGGCCTCGTTCCGATAGGACCACGAATGGTAGATGGCTCGTTTCGTGTTGCCGAGCCACCAGCGCCGGAACTAGCATAGCATAGCTCACTCACTAAAAACTAAAAGTTTGGTGCTATTTTACATTTTTTTTGTCAAGGATGGAAGTTCGTTGTAGAAGGGGTGTCACCATATAGATTTTGGTTGTGTTGACTTTTTACGTTCGCGGCTTCATGAAATGCATTGGTTGCACGAAATGCATGGAGTCCGGTAGGTGTAGACGTAGCCTACCGCGGTGGAAGTACCGCCAAGACTGCAGAGCGTTACCACCACGAAATATCAAAGCCAGAATTATTGCGCAGAGCTGATGAGATAGATCGTGCTGGGTTATGCATACCATTCAAATGACAAACTTACTAGACCACTGTACTCGCTGAAAATGTAAAACACCATATCGCCATGGATCACGATTAGCACGTAGCCTCGCTAGTCGTCTAAAGCTCATCAATAAAAGTGTCGCTGCCAGAATCGTGGTTAGATTCTGGTACGGTTGCGCTGGTTGGATACACGAATACCGGCCGCTTCGAAGGCGGGAACAGTGTTAACAGTGCGTCGACGGTACTGGAGACAAAAAATATGGAGCAGAAAATTTAGTAACACAGCGGCAACAGAACAAACTCAACCAAGCGCAAAAGCGTACCCGCCAGATATCTCCACGTATTCTGGATGCTGGTACATAAGCAGACGCATAAGGTAGAGGATCTTCTTGAGCACTTGATACGACTGGAGGACTGCCCAGCTTTCTCCTTCAATGTTGAGCTCCTTCAAAAACTGGAGGCTCTCGTTAAAACGAATAAGGTCGTTGATTGGCAGCAGCTTTCGGTTCTGAGTTGTGAGAGCCGTGGCGAGAAAAGTGTACGACGTTATCGCAAGAAATTCAAAGGACTTAGACGCTTTTGCCTTCGAAAGACGGTCGAATCCTTCTTCGACGTCTTCCATTGCGCGGAATCCTTGATTTGGCGTCACATATACTCTCGTCATATGCGGGTTGGGCTGACTTCTGGTCAAGTGACAGTGAAAACAAAGCCCCACACCACCCGTGTACGTCGTGCAGACGCCCTTGCTGAACATGACCATTATGTCTCCGAGTTCCGAAGCGCTGTAGTCTACCCCAAGTTCCACTTTCAAGCGTACCGATGACAGATTCGCGATGATTTTTTTAGTTTTACAGGTATTGTGAAAACCAATCGCTATGTCCAATTATTTTTGCAAATCCACCGTTTTAAAGCGCTGATAAGAGTGAATTCATATATATAAACGGAGGAAAGCTTATAATTAGATGGGCAGCCTTCTATTTAGACTCTGTTTTATAATGTGCTTCGTCGTTCTTTTATAGCTGTTTCGCATGAAACGCCCATACTTAGATGGGCATTCCGACCTTCGGGTGCTTTTATAAACGCGCAATGGAGATGGAGAAAACCCGAGCTAGAGTAGAAGTGAAGATAGGCGAGTTTGGTTGCACCAGCAGAACAAGTGTACCAGTTGAAGGCGCTGAGTTTGAGTTCGACGAAGTACACGATAGCTTCGACAGTGTATATTTAATAGCAGAAAGAAAGGTAAGCGTAGCTTTAGCTGTCTATTCTACCAAGACCACACGCCCCGACATGAAGCTGTATATGAAGCCGACGCAGCACGCCAAGCAGTCGCAGTTAGCTCCACTTTCTGGTGAATCTTGGCTTACTGTGCTGTCTCAAGCTCAAGCTAACTACAAGAAGCAAAAGACATTTGAAGGACCATTTATCGTCCAGCTGCACATGTACGCAGCTAAAGAAGTTCGACAAGTAATTCGACGTGCTACGCCAGCCCGCATTGCTGCAGCGGCAATAGCTATCGATTCGTACCTGACAGAGCGCTCCGATGTGCAAGTCGGCGACATGGCTCGCACACATTGGGCTATTAGTCTGGCCCGTCAGCCTGAAGGTACTGAAGTAAGCCTTCCCAGTAACGCTACCTTTCGTCAAATGCAGCACTTGGACGCAATGCGTAGTCC